CGACCGAGCAGGCAGGTGGTCGCGGAGGCCCTTAAAAGATCCCCAAGGCCGCCCTGTCCGACCAGACAGGCACCGCCGCCGCCCAACGCCAAACCCTGGAGATCCGATCGGGAACGATCGGCCAACGATAAGCAACAGCGGCTGGGCCCGGCTCCCGGTCGAACGGTCGTCTACGAGTCGATCAAGGAACCGCCAGGGTCCAAAGAAACCACCGACGAGAGCAACGATCGCTCGGCTCGAATCGTCGTCGACGAGGAACCCGGTCGGGTCAGCGCGAGTGAAAGGTGCGACGAGGAGGAGGAGGATCGCCGTGGAAGAAATCCACCGCGGGAAAGGCGGCACCGTGCCGTCGAGCAACAGCGTCGCGAAAATCCCGGCGAATCGACCTGCGTCGCCGACAAATCTACTCGCCCGGCGCTCTCGGAACGATCCGTCGATCGTCGTACTCCCGATCGAGACGATTCTTCCCCGGACGATTCGACGTTCAAGGAAAGATTCGAGCGCAAAGAGGACACCGCGTCGTTTCCCGATGCCAGAAACGAGAAGGACGACGTTACGAAAACCCCCGTCAAAGCGAACGTGTCGTTCGACGACGAGCGTCCTTGTCCGACCACGGGTTCGGAGTCCGGCGGCGAAAAATCGAGGGCGAATCGGGAAAACGAACTCGACGCTCGACCGACGCCTGCTCAGAGGTCTTGTCTGGCGAAACAAAGGGACGTCGCGACGAAGAAAAGTTTGGACGCGCGAACGAACGCGGAAGACTCGAGGACAAACGAAAACGGCAAATCCGCCGCGAACGTTGATCGTTCCACGGTGATCGTCGTCGACGAATCAGAGCGTAAAGCGGAATCGAACGATCTCGACGAGGACGGCGACGACTACGACGACGAGGAGCGCGACGGTGAAAATATTCGTAGACAGGACTGGCTGGAAGCTGGCGTTCCCTATTCGTCGACGCGGATCAGGTTGTCGGGCGACGACGGCGATAGAGTCAACGGACTTGATCGCTGCGAGAACGAGAAAGTCGGTGATCTTAATATCCTCAGGTAGTAAACCGATCAGAAAGTGGAAAAATTTGTACAAAGAAATTATTCGCTCTACTTGCACGCCTAGAGACGAGAAGAGAGTACGCCGGCAGCGAGACGCGTTCGCATATATTCGCTCTGTCGTTTTCGTTTTCTCACGGAAACGATGTTTATTCGATGCGTTACGTTAACGGGCATCGAACGAACGCGAAAGCGGCGGAAACGTGGTTGCAAATTCGTTTCGATCTGACGCGTTAATTATCGCGAAAAACCGCGATGTCTGTATACCTATTACGAGAACGAATGTAACCATCCAGCGGTTCGATCCGCAACTTTCTCGAGTTACACGATCCTTCTTGTCGTAACTATTTTAATTGCCGGTCGAAATACGCGTCAATGCAAAACGATACAGTTTTCTTTTTTTTTCTCAACGTTTCTTTCGGTTGCCTGGTAACCTACATTGTCCTCGTTCTTTTTCCTTTTTCGTAACGAGATCGTTCAGAGACCGGGAAGAAAGCTAATCGAGGAAGGGTTTGAACGCGTACGGGGAGCGGTCCGTTCAAATCTCGCGTGTTTTAGCTGTGGGCGATCGTTCCGAGATCGATCGATGCTTGTCCGATAGAGCAAATAACGGTGTACCGATGTTCCGTTTTCGTAACTCGAACCGAACAAAACTTTCGCCTGTTTCAGTATACAGGAGAGGATCGCGATGTCTTCCTTGCAAGGTCTACCCCCGTTACCGAGAAGTCTCAGCGGATTCAATTTGACCGGTGGTCGAAGCGAGGGATGCGAACCACCGCCACCGCCTACCAGATCCTCCAGTAAAACGCAAAGAGGCGGTAAAGCTTCGATCCAGTCATCCTCCAGGCCATCGCCACCTGCTAGACAGCTCACCACGCTGGATACTCAACTGGCCATACTCAGGAGAGAAATGGTGATTGTCCGAGTTTAGTCGATGCTGCCTTTTCGATATTTGTCGCTTCATCGGAATACGTCGATACTAATTTCAAATTCCGATTACAACCGAGATGGAAGTAGCTGCTCGATGTGCCTCGATGATGCGTACAGATACGCAGTTAGAAAAGATCCTTACCTATAATAGGTGGCGCTGTTCACGGGTAATGCAAATTATAGTCGCTAACTAACAGGAAAATTCCAAGGATTTGCATGTAACGACGTAACGTTTCTATAAACGGAACACTAAGTCGATCAGAGAATATCACCAGTGGAATCTCGGCATCGCCTCTGGCTATCTTTTGCTGCTTCTTTTTCGGTCGATTTCGTCGGTCGGGTGAAACGGTGAAAAAATTGAGAAATAAAATTTGGTTCTTTCGATCGTTACACAAGAAGATAATAACGAAGTGATGCGTAGTAAATGCGTCGATCGGGATTTGACGAAGAGCATGCACGCTGAAAAGTTAGGCTAATAGTTTAATAGTAAATCCAGACACGAAACGAACTGGCACAGCCGCTCCCACGCTGCATTCCCTCAGGCGTGACTCCCCCCTCTTCGCCTCCTTTTCGTGCCCGCTCTCTTTCACCTCTGTTCCTTCTACCTCCACGCTCGTGCTTCTTCTTCTTCTTCCTCTTCTTCTCTGCGCGCCGACACCTCTCATTTCCATTCTCATTTTGCGCCCTCTCTCCTCTTTCGTTCCCACGTCCAACCAGTCGTTACTTGCTCGGAAACGTCCTTTCGACCGACAAAATTCGTGTTGCCTTTCTTTTCCTCCGTTTCTCGATTACGTCGACGTAGTCTTCGTTATTTGGTTGATCGTACGATATTCTTGCAGTTCGGACTACGACAACTGGATCTTTCGTTGCTGTCGCAACTTTGGTCCTTGAACGAGTCTATTCAAGAATTTCGGCAACTGTTGCAAGAACAAGAGGACAGGGCGCCATCTCCTTCGCCCAGCAGCGAAGAAGGAGACGACACTTCGTACGGGACCCATCCTCCGCCTCCACCGAGAAGACCAGCTCCCGGTATACACCTTCACAGACCACCTAGGCCACCGAGACCACCTAGACCGCCTCCCAGCGACGAGTCACCCTCCAGCGAGGAATACGGAGCCGTTTGACGCCTTGCTCGAACGAACTGTTCGCATTCCAGAACGTCCCCGTTACCGCGTTTCTGAACCATCGTTCTTTAAACTCCATTACTCGTCGCGAAGATCCACGAGAGATCTCGTCGACGATTGTTTTAGATAAAATTAAAGATCGATCTAACCGTAGAAACTTTTGGAATGCGATGTAACGTATCGTTACAAAGAACTCGTTGGTGTTCGAAGGTACCTGGAACATTTCATTACGGAAACATCGCAGATTCGATTGTTCGAAGAACGCGTTTTCTGATTGCTACATAAATTCTATAGATATTAGATATTTAACAAATGAAAACATACCGTTCGTTGACCCACGAAACTATCAATGTCAATCCAAAAAACAACGATCCTCTATACATATACATATAGATAGATAGATAGATAGATAGATATAGATATATACATATATCTCGTACTAAGTAAGGGTAAAAGTTTATTGTCCTCGATGAGAACTATTTCAGTTCCACGTACTCTTTTCTCTATTTGTGATAGCAGTCGAAGGGGCCTTTGATTAACTATAAATAGATATTTGTTTGTGCTAATTAAGATTTTTCCGCGATCATTGGTTGAAAGACAGCTACAGAGGATCCGAGCCTACGGCACGAAAAACGGCTAGTGAGTTCCAAAGAATCGTGTTCAAAAATCCTCTCTTCCACGTTTCTTCGCTATTACGTCCATTACAGAGTTTTCTTTCTTGTTCGTGTACGCACGATTGCCCGCGTCACGACACGACTTGGACAGATTTATATAGATTAATTCGAGTGTGTAAAGTTTAATTAAGAGAAGAACGACAGATGCAAATAAAAGAAAATGTAATTTAAACGCAACCCGCTTCTTCATATTGCACCTGTCTCCACGCGTAATTCAATTATTACTTTTGTACTTTTGCTTTCGACGAATTCACAGATAAATTACTGTAATTTTATCTGCTCGAGGAAAGGAAAAACGTTCCTCGAGCTTATCGTCATGAAAAACGTTGACAGTTTCTATCGTTGATCACAGATGGCGGTACCGTGTCGTGTTTTCACGAGTGTCTCGTGAGAGAGGTTATGTATATCCCTGTTCACGAAGTGTTTGCTTCAAGAAATTGTTTGAAAGAATGCCCAACGAACATGGACACGACGAAAAGAGTAAGAAAAGGAAAAAGAAACGATCTCACGCCCAAATGGCGAAAAAGTTTGCCCGGCAAAGAAACCACGGATCGGACGTTGACGCCGAAACTTATCAATACATGGTACGCATCTTCGACTTGATGAAGGGCGATTTCCCCACTGCCGAGGAGAAACTGATCTTCGCGAATAACGTGTACGAGCAAACGATAGGCCACGAGCTGGACTACGCTCGGAATCAGCTCGGATCGAGGATACTGGATTCGCTTTTAAAATACGCGAACTTGGAAACGATTCAGAGGTTAGTCGACGCTTTATCCGGTTCCAACTTGAGACCGCTCAGCAGCGACAGATTCGCCAGTCACGTACTGCAAAAAATCGTAGTTGTCTGTGCCGGAAGAGGAAACAAGGCCGAGGAATCCAACACGGAAGAAAGTTCGGACGCGAGCGTGAAAGTCGAAGAATCGGAAATCGCCTCTTACAACGACATCGTACTGAAATTGTGCAGGTACTTCTTGAACAACATAGAAGAATTCGTGTTCGATACGTACGCGAATCATCTCCTGAGGACCGCCATCGAGTGTCTTAGCGGACTGATCGACAAGTCGGAGGACAACAATAAAAAGAAATTGACGTTCGGCGAAAGACGACCCGTTGTGCAACAATATAAGGATCTGTTGTCGCAGACGTGCAATAGATTACTCGAGTGGCCTCGATTGCTCGAGTTCGGACAGGACGAGCTCACGTCCGGATTGTTGCAGAGCGTTCTGTACTCCTTGAAGGACGTGCACCCCGAAATATTAGAAAAGTTCGTCCAGAAAATAACGCAGAAATGCTTCCAACCCGGCGAAGGGTCGCGAATATTCGACGCGGAATGTTCCACCAGGTTATTAGAGGTCTGCGTAGCCGTGGCGGAACCAAAATCGCTGTACAAAATTTACGAAGACTACTTCCGGGGTAAGTTGAAGGCGTTATCGATCGCGCACAATACGAACTTCAGCGTACAAAGGTTGATGGATCATTGTGCCGTGAAGGAAGACTTCGAAAATATCTTCGAGGAGGTTTCAGCGTGTTTCCCAGAAATTCTCAAGTCGGGGTACACCGGGGTGCTGGTAAGCGCGGGAAACGCGTGTTTGAGGTTACGAACGAAACAAGGCGCGTTCGTGACGGAACTTTTAAAAGCGCTCGGTTGCGAGACGAACGAAAAGCAACGGGATATCGTGACTTGCCTGGCTAGTTTGAAATCGTTGGAACAGCTGGAGAGCTTACGGAAGGCGGATAATTCCCATCCGGTTATCTGTTTACACGGCAGCCTGATTATCCAAGCCATTTTGAAATTCAACAAACCTATCAAAATCGTAAACTCGTTGTTGGAAATGAACGAGGAGGAACTGGTGCGCATACTCGAAGATCCGAAAGGAAGTCGCATCGTCGATGCCTTCATGGACAGCGAGTACATAGGCGAGAAGAGCAGAGAGAAATTCGCGAAAAAGTTCCGAGGGTACTGGGCTCAAATGGCTTCCAGCACCCACGGTTCCAGGTGTTTGGACAAAATGTGGCAGTGGGCGCGTATAAATCAGAGAACTTTGATCATGGAGGAGTTGGCAGCCGTCGGAGAATCGTTGCGCTCCACGAAATCTGGACAAATAATCTCGAACAAACTGAACGTGCCCTTATTTGCTAGGAACAAGAAAGACTGGATGGAAACTCTGGGAAAAGAAGAGAAAACGAAAGCTCTTTTCGCGAGTATAATAGGGGAATCGAAGAAAAAGAAATAACGCGTTTCTGTAGGTGGAACGCGCGGGTTTCACGATATTTGTTAAATAAAGCCAGGAAGGGAGAGGCAATGTATGCTTGTTCCGTTAGCCTTATCACATAGAATAGTTATGTATTTCGTAAATTCATAAATACAATTTATAGAATCCATCATACATCCCTGCAACGCAACGTAGCTAGGAAAACATACAACGACTCGTAATCTAGATTTGAGCAAAGTTCCCTAAACGCGTAGGACCGATAAATTCGCTCCGGCGAATCGACGGTGACTAGACTTAAACGTATACGACGCGTACAGAGTAAAAGCGAGAAGATCGTAATTGCTTTTGGTAGTCGCGTTATTCGTTGCGATCGTTAAATTGACTAGCGAACGATCCCAATTACGAAATTCGGAGTCGAAGAAAAATCGTTTCCTAGGATCGCTTCGACGAGAAGCGGAGACAGCGATTTGTCAAGGTTTTCGCGATCGCGTTGATCTTTCGCGGGACTAGAACACGATACGTTCCTTGTTAACTTCGTACCGTGGCGATTGCGTCTATCGGATCGTTCGTTTCTTTGGGCGGCATTGTTTCTTTCCGTTTCTTCGCGCAGAAACGGGGCTATTTCTGGTTCGTCGTACGTTCGCGACGTCGACGTTGTTCTCGTAATCGACGACCGCGGATTATTGCTTCTTCGAATCGTCTACGATCCGGAACCGTACTTCGAATTCGTTTCTAATGTAGCGTTTCGATCGAACACCGTTACTTTTGCTATTCTAACGAAGAGATTCGTCGAACGACGAGACAGAATAATCGTAGAGGGATGCAAATTCGAGAGCGACCTCGAGGGAAGGAACAAAGTTTCTCGTAGAAAAAGTACGATCAGTAGGGTAGATCGGAAGGAGAATGTCGTTGAAAAGGATAGAAGAGTAGAAAATAGAGGAGCAGAAGATGTATGATTCGACAAAGAAGAAAAGGTACGTTAGACGGTTGAATCGCGATTAACGCGAATCGCGTTGGATCGAGCCAGCGGCGAATCGGCGAGGGTGAGATTTGGCATGGTGACGTCACTTCCCTTTGGTAGCAGCCCCGGCCGCTATCGGCGAAACGACCGTCGCTTCGTTGACGGTGGTCGAGAGGGCAGAAATTCTCAAGTCGGGGTACACCGGGGTGCTGGTAAGCGCGGGAAACGCGTGTTTGAGGTTACGAACGAAACAAGGCGCGTTCGTGACGGAACTTTTAAAAGCGCTCGGTTGCGAGACGAACGAAAAGCAACGGGATATCGTGACTTGCCTGGCTAGTTTGAAATCGTTGGAACAGCTGGAGAGCTTACGGAAGGCGGATAATTCCCATCCGGTTATCTGTTTACACGGCAGCCTGATTATCCAAGCCATTTTGAAATTCAACAAACCTATCAAAATCGTAAACTCGTTGTTGGAAATGAACGAGGAGGAACTGGTGCGCATACTCGAAGATCCGAAAGGAAGTCGCATCGTCGATGCCTTCATGGACAGCGAGTACATAGGCGAGAAGAGCAGAGAGAAATTCGCGAAAAAGTTCCGAGGGTACTGGGCTCAAATGGCTTCCAGCACCCACGGTTCCAGGTGTTTGGACAAAATGTGGCAGTGGGCGCGTATAAATCAGAGAACTTTGATCATGGAGGAGTTGGCAGCCGTCGGAGAATCGTTGCGCTCCACGAAATCTGGACAAATAATCTCGAACAAACTGAACGTGCCCTTATTTGCTAGGAACAAGAAAGACTGGATGGAAACTCTGGGAAAAGAAGAGAAAACGAAAGCTCTTTTCGCGAGTATAATAGGGGAATCGAAGAAAAAGAAATAACGCGTTTCTGTAGGTGGAACGCGCGGGTTTCACGATATTTGTTAAATAAAGCCAGGAAGGGAGAGGCAATGTATGCTTGTTCCGTTAGCCTTATCACATAGAATAGTTATGTATTTCGTAAATTCATAAATACAATTTATAGAATCCATCATACATCCCTGCAACGCAACGTAGCTAGGAAAACATACAACGACTCGTAATCTAGATTTGAGCAAAGTTCCCTAAACGCGTAGGACCGATAAATTCGCTCCGGCGAATCGACGGTGACTAGACTTAAACGTATACGACGCGTACAGAGTAAAAGCGAGAAGATCGTAATTGCTTTTGGTAGTCGCGTTATTCGTTGCGATCGTTAAATTGACTAGCGAACGATCCCAATTACGAAATTCGGAGTCGAAGAAAAATCGTTTCCTAGGATCGCTTCGACGAGAAGCGGAGACAGCGATTTGTCAAGGTTTTCGCGATCGCGTTGATCTTTCGCGGGACTAGAACACGATACGTTCCTTGTTAACTTCGTACCGTGGCGATTGCGTCTATCGGATCGTTCGTTTCTTTGGGCGGCATTGTTTCTTTCCGTTTCTTCGCGCAGAAACGGGGCTATTTCTGGTTCGTCGTACGTTCGCGACGTCGACGTTGTTCTCGTAATCGACGACCGCGGATTATTGCTTCTTCGAATCGTCTACGATCCGGAACCGTACTTCGAATTCGTTTCTAATGTAGCGTTTCGATCGAACACCGTTACTTTTGCTATTCTAACGAAGAGATTCGTCGAACGACGAGACAGAATAATCGTAGAGGGATGCAAATTCGAGAGCGACCTCGAGGGAAGGAACAAAGTTTCTCGTAGAAAAAGTACGATCAGTAGGGTAGATCGGAAGGAGAATGTCGTTGAAAAGGATAGAAGAGTAGAAAATAGAGGAGCAGAAGATGTATGATTCGACAAAGAAGAAAAGGTACGTTAGACGGTTGAATCGCGATTAACGCGAATCGCGTTGGATCGAGCCAGCGGCGAATCGGCGAGGGTGAGATTTGGCATGGTGACGTCACTTCCCTTTGGTAGCAGCCCCGGCCGCTATCGGCGAAACGACCGTCGCTTCGTTGACGGTGGTCGAGAGGGCACCACTGGCGACTCTCGGCGGACTTCTGGAGGTCGATCTCCGAGGTTCGCGCGGCGGAGGGTTGTTGCAGGTCGCGTGATGACCTCCCGCTTCCCAGTCGCGATGTTGGCAAAAGGAGCCGCAGTACCGCGCGATTCCGCAACCACCGCAAGTCTCCAAAGCCGGTCTACCGCAGTTCCAACAGCTCTGAAAAGATGAACGATAAGTTGGCGGAAGGGTTCATCGCGCGGACGTCCAACGAATGCAAAAGATACTGACGGATCCCGAGACGGTTTGCAGGTGCGACTCTTTCTCGTCTTCCGTGGTCGATGGTATCGAATTGGAAACGGTAGTCGGCGTGGTAACGGTTCTAGGACTCGAGTCTATCGGTCCGGGGTTACCGTGGACCCGTAGATACGGTCCTTGACGCAGAGCGCCGTGATTTCGCTGAGACAACGGTGCGTCGGGTAATCGATGAACTCGCAGCCGTTCGTTCGTCCTCGTTTCGATCACCGCTGCTCTCACGGCGCGTTGCACCTCGACCATCACGGCCCTCTTCACGGCTTCTTCTGCGACACAACCAAATAAAGACACGTTCCAACATTAACCAAATTAAAAGACAATCGCTACAAAATCGAAAGACCACTGACCATCTTTCCTTTGCAGTTCCGCGACTTTGTCCTCGATGGCTCTGATAGTCTGAGCAACGATCTCCCCGGACAATCGTTTCAAGCTACCCTCCCGATCCCCGGTCGAGGACTCCACTTGAGAACCGTTCGTCGAGGACGGATTGTTCGTCCCGGTGTTACCGGTACCGTTCTGAGCTCCGGCCGGTGTCGGAGGGGCCGTCGCGGTCGGTCCGAAGCAACCTCGCGTTTGCAGAATGGCCAATGCCTTCTTTGTCTTTTCCACCATTCCTAGGATGCAGTTTAACATCATGTGAATGTTTTTCCACTCGTCGTCGAGGCTCCCGTTCTGCGTTTGAACGTGACTCATCTGTTGTGGCTGCTGAGCCAGATGATGAGATCCAGAAAACGGGTTCATCTGGTTCATTTGCACCGGATTAGGCGGTATCGGGCTGGGTCCGTGACCGTGGCCGTGGCCATGTCCGTGGCCGTGGCCATGACCGTGAGCGTGACCATGACTGTGACCGTGTCCGTGACCGAGACGATGCCCTTGAATCGATCCACTCGTCGAATGCAGCGGATGATACCAACAGTAAGGGGAAGAACCGTCGGTGGACGGTTGTTGCTGTTGCGGCGGATGGTGGTGACTCCAGGGATTCGACAACCTCTTTCCGTACATGGGGACGTCGTCGAGAAGGGCACCGTTTTCGTAGTACCTGCGACAATTTCACGACGTGTAGATTCATGAATTAGTTGCAGCACGTAATGAAGTTCGTAATTCGGTACGCGATCGTCGTTGCTCTCGGCTGGAAAGAACTCGAATAGGTTTAGATTCGGAAGAGCGTCAATAGGAACCACGCGCATTCTTTCCAGCCGTGAACAGCGAATTCCTCGGACTCGGAGCAGAAGCGTCGAAACGCGAAGCGAAGGTAGGCCGTATTAGCGCTCGAAGCGAGCTTGCCGGTATTCGAAGGGTAGAGAATAGAGGGACTTCGGTGGCGAGAGAGGAGGAGGTGGAGTGGAGCGGGTGGCCGAGGGTGTTCGAGAAAGGTGGTACGCCGATGATATATGGAAACGTCACCGGCAGACGTATCGAGAGGAGGCCAGGCTGGCATCGCTGGCGCGCGAGTCGCGTTTTGTCGCCTTCGAATTCGCTTCGGTGGACCTTTCTCCGTACACGCGCGCGTATCGCGTCCCGAATGGAAACACCGATCCCGTCCACCCGATCGCGAACTTCTTGGCGCGTTCGGTTAATCGAATCGAACAGCCGGCAGAGCGGTTTCGGCGCGGCATCCCGCTCGATCGGACGGCAAATAACGACGAGAAATGCAGGCTCGCGGCCAAGATTTTTCTCGAACGCCGGCACATTTGCGGCTTGGCAAATATACTACGCACGCGTGTACGCGCAGATTTCTGCGTTCGTTGTCGCGTGAATTATCGCTATGGACGGCCAAAGATTCCGCGCGGTCTTGTTCACTTTCAAACCAATTTACACCGCAATTTACGCGTCTCCGATACGCGAAGCAACCTCGCGTTTGCAGAATGGCCAATGCCTTCTTTGTCTTTTCCACCATTCCTAGGATGCAGTTTAACATCATGTGAATGTTTTTCCACTCGTCGTCGAGGCTCCCGTTCTGCGTTTGAACGTGACTCATCTGTTGTGGCTGCTGAGCCAGATGATGAGATCCAGAAAACGGGTTCATCTGGTTCATTTGCACCGGATTAGGCGGTATCGGGCTGGGTCCGTGACCGTGGCCGTGGCCATGTCCGTGGCCGTGGCCATGACCGTGAGCGTGACCATGACTGTGACCGTGTCCGTGACCGAGACGATGCCCTTGAATCGATCCACTCGTCGAATGCAGCGGATGATACCAACAGTAAGGGGAAGAACCGTCGGTGGACGGTTGTTGCTGTTGCGGCGGATGGTGGTGACTCCAGGGATTCGACAACCTCTTTCCGTACATGGGGACGTCGTCGAGAAGGGCACCGTTTTCGTAGTACCTGCGACAATTTCACGACGTGTAGATTCATGAATTAGTTGCAGCACGTAATGAAGTTCGTAATTCGGTACGCGATCGTCGTTGCTCTCGGCTGGAAAGAACTCGAATAGGTTTAGATTCGGAAGAGCGTCAATAGGAACCACGCGCATTCTTTCCAGCCGTGAACAGCGAATTCCTCGGACTCGGAGCAGAAGCGTCGAAACGCGAAGCGAAGGTAGGCCGTATTAGCGCTCGAAGCGAGCTTGCCGGTATTCGAAGGGTAGAGAATAGAGGGACTTCGGTGGCGAGAGAGGAGGAGGTGGAGTGGAGCGGGTGGCCGAGGGTGTTCGAGAAAGGTGGTACGCCGATGATATATGGAAACGTCACCGGCAGACGTATCGAGAGGAGGCCAGGCTGGCATCGCTGGCGCGCGAGTCGCGTTTTGTCGCCTTCGAATTCGCTTCGGTGGACCTTTCTCCGTACACGCGCGCGTATCGCGTCCCGAATGGAAACACCGATCCCGTCCACCCGATCGCGAACTTCTTGGCGCGTTCGGTTAATCGAATCGAACAGCCGGCAGAGCGGTTTCGGCGCGGCATCCCGCTCGATCGGACGGCAAATAACGACGAGAAATGCAGGCTCGCGGCCAAGATTTTTCTCGAACGCCGGCACATTTGCGGCTTGGCAAATATACTACGCACGCGTGTACGCGCAGATTTCTGCGTTCGTTGTCGCGTGAATTATCGCTATGGACGGCCAAAGATTCCGCGCGGTCTTGTTCACTTTCAAACCAATTTACACCGCAATTTACGCGTCTCCGATACGGTTTTCCGTCGTTGGCCGACCAGGAAACGATCGGCGTGAAACGCCGCGAAACGATATCTCTCGAGCAGGGTCGAAATTGACGACGAACGGATCGACTCACGGAGTGTCGGAGGCACGACGCTTCGGCGCGTGCGACGCGCTGCCGGAATAATGGTGAAGACCGGCGTTGTTCGCGTGCGGAATACCACCGACGCTGGGATTAGAATTGGACCGCATGCCGTAATGACCGGAACACTGATTGCCGCCGGTCCCGGTGTGTTCTCCGAAAACTTCGAGCGACTCTCCGGCGGACACCAAACCCACGGCTTCCAGAACCGCAGCCTCGTTCGATCGCAAGAACTGCGCGCAACTCTGTCGACAGAACAAATGTATTAAATCGCGCGGGTCGAACGACATATTTTTGCGTCGCGAATCAACTAAACTCGCGTTACGCACTTGTACGCCTCCCATCGTAACAGGAGCCTTCCGCGAATCCAATCGAGGCGATACGTATCTCCATGTTTCACTTTTGACCCTCGATATTCGTCTAGCGTTTTTTACGGGCAACACCTGTACGGATAAACTTTCGAGTTCGTTGGCAAAGTCTACTCGGTAAGCTAGGATTTATCGCTTCTAATTCGGTATCGAAACCTCCGTTCGTCTCTGGTCGTCGAGCTCGGATTTCTCGATTAACGATCATCGATCGGTAGCTAGTCTCGCGCGTCCGACGCGTCTCGTGTCGTCGTTTGCTAAGCAGCGGCTACTCGGTTTCCACGCGATCCAAACAGACGTGAGAGGAAGGGTGCAGCCGAGCGACGGAATTTGCCACCGCCCGGTTCTCTCGATCCTCCGTCGGTCTAGCTGCCTCGAGAAATGTAAATCGTAGCTATTAATTTGCAATTCGTTACCGCGCGACCCGTTCCTCCGCGCTCTCTTACTCGTCTTCTCCGCCACCCTCCGCGTGCAGCCGTCTTTTTCTTTTCGCTCTCTCGCGAGACGGGCAACAGCTGGAAGCAGCGGCGTAACCGAAAGACTTTTATCGATTCGTCGAGGCAAACTTTATCCTTTCCCGCGAAGATTACGAATCTTTTCCGTGTTTCGTTTAGGATTAAAATCGATCCTCGTCCGCTCGTAGATCGCAACGTTCCTCTTTCTCGACGAGCTACTAAATTCGTGAAAAGATTTTACTTCGCGGTCAAATCGATTCGTAAATTCAACGAATCGTCGGTCCGGTTCGGCAATACGAGGAAGAAATGGACGAATAGTAACGAGCCGCGTTACGAAAGGCAGTCGGAACCTTTACGTTCGATTTGCCCATCTATCTTGCCGTGAAACGGGGCTGCGCCACGCTCGCACCCACCCACGGATTCGCGAAGTAGCCTGGGAAATTAAAACAGGTCGGCAGCCGGTCAGCTCGACTTCTGTTGATTTTACTCGCTACTCCTGAACGCGTTTCCTCTCCGTCGTGCCGTCTCCGTTAGCCAAAGTTTAACGAGCGTAATATAACTCTAATCTATATCGGACCACGACCGACACAACGAACATCGGTTATCCAAGCCGCGTGTTCGCGATCGTCTATTCTCGTCTTCGCGATCGCGCAGATTTCGTAACGTTATTCTCTCCTCGCTCTTATTTTACTTCTTATCGGGAGTTTCGAGGCGACGATCGTCCCATTGGTTAAAATTCTCCGAATATCTCGAGCGAGAGCGATCGAACAACGGTCGACGTAGAATTCGAATTCCGTGCAGCGAGAAATTCGAAACAACGATGTTCCCGTAACTAGGGAGCATCGGTATTCTCCGCATCGCGTTGGATCCGCGTGTGCACTCTGATTTATGGCGTTCCCGGGAACTCTGATAACTCTCCTCTTACGTAGCAGTCAGCTTTCGCCATCCGCTATTTCTCGTAGAAAGGAAATTCACCGATGGCTCGAAGAAAAAACTCACCTGATTGCTTGCTCTGGCGGCGTTGCTCAAGTCCCTCTGCAAAGAAGGTAATTGCTGCTTCAAGTGCGGCAGTACGAAATCTTTGAGAGAGTAATTGGTCGCTTCCTGTAACGCCGAGTGGAACTCTTCCGCCGTCATACCGCCGCTCTGCGGAAACGAAAGTATTCGTTGAACAGTATTTCGTTACGTGCCGTACGATAGTGGTACGACGAAGCGTGGCTACCAGATGTCACGTTTCCGGAACGCGTACGAGCTCGTTGCGCGCACCGATTTTACGCGCCGCGTACGAGCTTCGAATACTTCCGTTCGAGTTTAAAGATTCACGAAACTTTCGCGATACCGAAACGTTTCTTTTTCTTTTACGTTGTCGATCGCGACTACGGCACCTTCGTCTCGAGGTTGCGTTTTACTCGCGCGTGCCGGTTGAACGCGATGCCGTCAGCTGGTATATACGCGTATCTCGCTCATCCTCGTTGCTAGAAGAGTTTACGGCTACGAAGCATCCTACGTTCCGCGATATACGCTACGAGCACCTGCGACGAGCCAACGAACAAAACAAGAACCGTGGTAACGGATGGAATCCGGTCAAACCTTGCCGCTATAACGCGATATCGTAGCGATTTCTCCGTAAGCGATTTTTCAATACGAAACGCCGCTACTCGACTTTCTTTTGCTCGTTTCTCAAATTCATTCGCGCTTTTAAAACGTCGAACGCGTTACGAATTTTCGAGGTCTCTTTCCGTAGCGAGAAAATAATGATTAAGCGCGGGATTTACCAAAAGCGCCAGCACCAGAGCGAGCACGGTGTCACCGGTGTCCGGAGATATACCGGTGGCGAATTTCACGACAGTGCCGAGCACGCTCTTGAGCTCGCCGTGACCCGCGAAAACACCGGCGATGCATCTGTTACCGGAGCCGCTATTCGTCGACTCGGATACATCGTTTTGCTCTTCCGTCCTGCAACTGGTAGCAGCTCCGGCATTGCCGCTGCCACCGCCTCCGGGACCGATGCCATCCTCGAATTCCGGTTTCAGAGGGTGCGAAGGCAAAGGACTGTCGTTGTCAGAGGATTCCGAACAAGCGGTCGATCCTTTGTACTCGGACCGCGGACCGTTGCTCTGTTTTGGTTGGTTGCCCGATACCGCCGTTGAAATCCTTTGATGATGAGAGGATGGCGAGTGCGCTTCCGATTGGCCGTCTTCCCGCGGCGTTTTCTCTCTCGCCGTGGAGCTCGCTGCAACAAAACGTCTCCCCTTTTCTTCCTCGATTCCTCGATTCTGAACTTTCGTGTCTAGTTCGATTTCGATCGCGAGAGATTCATTTCGGCGCGAGATAAAGACGGTTTAAAGCAAAGGGTTGTCGCGAAACCGTTCTTTGTGCACGGCAACATCCGGGCAGGCGAATCGGCCACTCGTTTACGAACGCGTTGATAGGACGGACACAGAGAGAAGCGGCGGTGTGTTCGGGGATGCGCGTCAACCGACGGTGTATACTCTGTGCGTGGGTGCAGCGGATAACATGCAATTACGGGCCGTGTCATCCACCTTGTCTTGTTCCCGTTCTCTGTTCTCGTCCCGTCCCGTCTCGTCCCATCCTGTCCCGTCCGCGCGTTATCTCGCGAAATGCCTCCAGTCCCGTGGTGTGCGTGGCAAAACGCCGCCATAGAACGCGTATGCCGATAACGAAAGGTTACACGGTGATCCGTACTCGCCTCGTTTCGCCTTGTTCCGCGTCGCGGAATCTCGACTGACAGCCGTGACCTCGCTCGACGGAACAAAACGACCGCTCGTCCCGACGTTTCCTTTCGTTTCGCGGTTTAATCTAGCCACGTGCCTCTTTCCGACGTTCGCTCTCGGAACGATTTTCCGCTCGATCTTTCGCTCGCTTATCTTTGGCCGAGGAACGTCCGCGTCGCTGCACGAGGATTTCGAGGGAACCGATAAAGCGGATCGAGAACGAGTACATATTTTAGCGCGTCGGTGCGTGTTGGCTCGTAACGCGAGTAAGCGAACGGAGGGACAAGAGGGAGGAGGTCGCCGGTACCGTGTCACCGCCACCTGACGCCGGTAGCCAAGAGGTAATTACCTGTACCTGAACTCTCGGCGAACTAAACTACCTCGGAGAGCGCAACTTACAGCTCTCTCGCGAGCGCTCCGATTCCCTCGTCGAATCGACTTTGCGACGTCGCCCCGCCCAACGACTCGACCGCACAATTTCCCCCGAGATCGGACGATTTCTCGATCGTTGAGCTCGCGTAACCCCCTGTCTCGAATCGAAAACTTGACGCGAGTTGCTCGAAATTTTCTAGACGAATTCGTCACGATGCCGGAAATATTTGTCGCGAAAACTCGATTAGTCGGACACGGAGTGTTTGGAGCGTGGTGCGGGCGTGAGAGCGAGAGGAGATCGCGAATCGCGCGGTGACACCTGGAACGCACGCAAAGCAGCGTAGAAGCGGCTCGTTGTCTTCGCAGACGACCGTCCCACGAACACCGACGGAGAGATCGATAAAGCGCACGTGCTCCACTCGGCCGAGAGTCCCTGGCTGGAAGTAAGTGCGCTGGGACTCAGCTGTCGCCTCCTAATTGCCGGGACAATGCAACAGATGGCTTTGATCGCGATCCCTTCCTAGTCACCCCTTGCTCCCTCCTCCTATTTCCCTTCTTTCCTCTTCCCTCCTGTGCCCTCCCTCGCGTTTTATACGTATCTACATTCTTCCTTCTCTTTCGGAGGATTTTCCGTCTTCGAATGCCGTTCCCCGCGTTCGTTCTAGCTCCTTCGTTAACTCTCGCTCTTCCGGTTTAACGCGATTTCCGATCCCGTTTCGCGTCGCCTTTCGGAATCCCTAACGACGGTCTATCGTATCGTTAACGATCGCGACGTTTCGTGATAGTCGAGTTTCGAGAGGAACGCGCACCCGGATCGAGCGGAATCGGATTTACCGGGAGACGGTTTTAATATCTGGCGAGGCGAGAGCCATTTCCTGGAATCGCGGACGCGAATCCTAATAAAGTTCGCCGAATCCGGACGCCACTTTTCAGGGGATCGCGGCGCTTAAAACTCGAGCACGAACGCGTTCGCGGGCGGTCGCGTAAGGAGGACGGGTGCGCTTCGCGAAACTCGTTCCTCGCGTCGTAAGTCGTAAGCATATCCAAAGGGAAGGAAACGCGAGCGAGCGAGCAAAGTACGAGCGACTATCGCAAAATACCTCGAACGGCAACGTCGGGGATGCCGACGGTGTACCGGATATGATATCAGCCTCGAGCAGAATCCCGCTGGAAGCGTTGGACGTGCCTTATCGCGTCTGGTCCAGGCAGTCAGCCAGTGCACGAACCGACCTAACCAACACACCGAGCCCGACCAACCAACCGACGAACCGGCTTGACTGACTGTTCGCAGGAGTTTCGCCATCCCCCATGGAACGTTCCGCGATCGCGTTGCTCGGGCTCTCGTGCACGTGCTCCTTGCAATCCTTTCCTCTCTTTCTCCTCGCGTTTACCTCTTATCCCCCAGCCGCCTCTTTTAATTCGCGGATTCTGCGACGAAGCGGACGAGGATTTTCGAAGAAACGCGTCCGGACGTTAAGACGCACCGAATATATAATATTTTATCGAGTAATACCGCTCTGCCGTCGAAAATTTTCTACTTTTGCACCGCCAACCTAACGTTTCTTTTCTCGCTGAGCGCTGCCGATAGTCTACGGTGATTTTTCGAAACCGATCGAATCGCGTAAATTTGTCACGATCTCGAGTTAGCTAAATCTCGTCCTCGTACGGAAAGAACGGAGACGGGGTAAAGTCCCGTTCGATCGGGAGGACGGGTCTTTGACGAGAGAAGCGGGCATTTTTCCTGAGCCGTTTCCAAAGTAGCTGCGGGTTCCCGGTCGTCTAGATAACCGGTTCGCTTCGAACGTACGATCTCGTCGGCCGAGAGCCCGCCAGCGGACAGAATATACGGGTACCCGTATGCAGTATTCGAAACTAATGTTCGTCGTGGTCGTAGCTAAGCCACGCGCGACGATCTCGCGGTCGTGGTCGAATTCTTTCGAACCGAAAACCTGGTTCCTCGGCCATTCGAATCGTTCGGATCGGAGGTTAGTGAAAAAGTAAACGCACCCTTGGCCTTGGTCTTGAGATCGAGATCGACGGGAAAGGGATCGGCGCTGGCGACGCGCGAAGACGGCGCGTTCGGATGGCAGACGATCGCAGAGCTCGCAGGGGTTGCATTCTGCAGGGTGGTCGTCGACGACGCGGTGCTCGCGGGCTGACTCGGCGCGCCGTTGCCGACGGTGTTGACGACGGTGCTCGCGCTCGAACCCGTCACCGTTGAGACGCTCGAGCTTCCCGACGACGACGACGTCGAGGACGCCGTCGGCGATTGCTGATAACCGCAGCATTCCTTTGCCTCTTCCTTCACCTTCACCTTGTGGAGGATCGTTGCTGCTGCCATTCCACCCTCCGCTTTCATGCCCGCTCAGCTTGCCTGTTCAACATTCGACCCATTGATTCGTCGTCGTTCCCTCGACGAACTATATTCCGCTATCGTAACCGATACGATAATTTTATTTTACGCGTGTCGTTTAAAAAAATCAAAGCGTCGCGTCGCGACGCGTCGTGAAACAAAAGGACTCGGAAAACGAGCAAACCAGGACGCGTATGCGCGACATCGCGACCACGATTCGTATTTGATCGATTCCATTTCGCGATTGCCGCGGTCGCATATTTCGTGTACGTGCTCGTCGACGAGCAGCACTCCACCGTGCATACCGATGACTGATTTTAATGGAACGGTCGAGCGGCAATTTTACCTACCAACGAGAGAATCTATCGCGATTCGACTACTCGTCCCGAATATCCAACCGCATAATTGGAAGTACTCGATTACGCTCGCGCGACGGTTAACGCCTTACCTAAGGCGATACGATCCGGACAATCCGGCGAGAAACGTCCGATACGAAGCGCGCGGAATCGATACGGACGAGATTACGAGAAGGGATATTAGGCGAAAGAGAAGCGGGAAGTAACGTTCAAGATCCACGTGGCGCGCAACTCTCGCTGGTGGAGGAATTTTATTTGATCGGGGCACTGGTTTGCCTGGTCGTCGCGACGCGTCGGTGCCGCATGGTTTCGTTATTAACGCGAAATGCAAACGAGTCTTTCCTTTCGTCCAAGAAACTACCCTCGCACGATTCGTTATAATTTTTAGCGGAAAATCGGAATAACTCTTTCGTCGTGAATATCGTCGGAACGTTTGATATTTTCAACGCGAGTTTTGCTGGTAATCGGCTTTGCGGCAAACGAATAAACGACGTCGTCGATCGCCTCGAGCGCGCAACTTTTACGGCGTACAATTCCAGTTAAATTAACGCGACTACGAACGTCGGGTCCGTGCATTAACGTTCGTCGCCATTAAAGTTTTTCAACGTCGAAGGAAAGTAATTATCGCGATTAATTTTCGTTTACCGTAACGAGGAAGCAAAGCCGGTTTTACGATCAGTACGAAAGCGTTTCCTTCTCGACTGCGAACAGCTCGCGTCGATTTTTGCTCGGCAAACGTCTTCGTCGATCGACGAAATTACCGCGCGTTTCGAATTCGATTCCCACCGTGAACGCGCGGATGAACTCCGAGTAAAGTTTGAACGGGTGTTCGTCGATGCATAATCCTCGCCTCCGGTCGAGAAAGGATTCGACTTTATCGCGACAGATGGTCAAGATAATTTTAATCGGCGTCGACTCCCTCCGAGTGATTTGCCCTTGTTCGCGATCGTCGATCGCTCGATTCGTTAGCGGGCGAACGAGGGAGGAAGGCGACGAATCGGCGCGTCGCGAGCGAAAGAGGGAAAGCGGTCGTTCGGCCAGGAGGGCGGAGACGCGCGTTCGCGGCAATTCGTTAAGACGCTTAGTTGAGCAAACAAGAGCAGAGTCGCCTGGAAACGATATACGTGCCACGGCAGAAAATCCACGGCTCTGCCGTTGGTAATTACGTTTCTCGTGCAGCTGTGTGCCGCGCACGGATATAAACGCGAGCTCACGTACTCGTTTTTCCGATCGAACGCGCGGTTTCGTTACGGTTTTCGTCGGCGTGCCGGTCCTCGCGTTCCTTCGACGACCGCGAAAACCCTCGATGATCGAACGAAGCGTAATTCGCGGAAGCAGCGGTAATCGCTTCGAAAAAGGGAAAAAGAGAAAGAAAGGAAGGTATGCAGGAGAAAAAGCGTGGATCGATCGCGGACGCGTTTCGAAGGAAACGGCTTCGGCATCGCGGCAGACTGAGCTTATGTTTATACATATGTCCTGCACATGGTACGATGCTCGTCGGAGAGGAGGTCGCGCGGGTGGAGACGCAATTTCCAATATTAGAACGGCCAGGCAGGCGAGAGGCAGGCAGAACAGGCAAGGCAACCAACCAACCAGACCAGACCAGATGTCTACCGTGCTCGCTATCGAGAGCGCGACGTACGTTTAGCTTGCTTTCATTACAAAAATGTCACGCACAGCCACCGTGTGTCTTCTTGCTCGCACCGGCCTTTGATGATGCACCCTCACCCTCTCCTCTCTGCTCCTTCCCCTTTTCACCCTTTTTCCCTGCAGTTCACGATCAACCGTCTACCGTCACCGAGTAAACCGTCGCGAACAAACGCCGATGGATCGCGTTCGGTCTTCTACGCGATCGACGTTCGCGCGTAAAACTAGTCGCGTGGTCCGCGGCGAAACTCGGTCATCCGCTTCCGCGATACCGCTCGCGGGTTACGCGACTACGACGTCGGAGCACCGGCTTACGATTATTTCGCTCGACCGCGTTACGAACGTGTCACGAGCAGACGCGCCGGCTTCGGCCCGGTATTTGACGTTTCGCTCGTCGAGCACGCCTGCTCTCGCGACCAGTCGCCCAACGAAAAAGGAACGCCGAGAGAAATCGCGAGAACGTCGATTACGATTCTATCGGAGAGTTATCGCACCCTTTGCGAGGTCGCGTCCGCTTAATTTCTCGATACCGCTGGGCTTTTCGTCCGTTTCGAAACTTTGGAAACTCGTTGATACAATGTCGGTGAGAAAAGGTAGTCGAGAACGATCGATCGGCCCTCAATCTGTTCGTAGACGGAGGCGTACGCAGGTGTGTTCACGGTGCGTTGGTCGGTTTATCGGTTTCGTGGAGAAAATCGTTATTGGAGCAGCGCATCGATCGATGCCGAGCGGACGATGTTTTCGACGGAACGGCTGTCCTTTTCAGAAGCGTAGTTTTTCGAAACGAAACAAAATCTCAAAGTCTACCGCGTTTGAAGCGCGAAATCTGTCCGCGACACCTGACTGGCAACGCGCGGTCGGAACAGAGAGAACCGGGTAGGTGTTTCGGTGTTTCGGAGAACGAGAGAGAAGGAGAGAGGAAGAGACGAAGCAAGATTAATAATATAGGAAAGCCAAAGCCATGCCACCCTCAGACGAGCTTTCCACTGACTCTCTTCTGTTGCCAACAGTTAATCGATATAATACTTGAGAGCGTAACGAGCCAACGACGGCGCGTGTCTCGCCTACCTACCTACCTATGCACGCACACGCGTCAATCTTTTCGCGTTCGGGTCAAGACTACCTACGCGTTGCTGAAATCTTGCGACCGATGCAGCGAAAGAGAAATCGAGCAAATTTTCTCGCGCCGTAACTCGTGGCCTACGTTTTCCTGGAAATTACCGCGTTACGAGAACAAATGCGCTTTCCTGCTATTTACGCGTACGTTACGAGCGATCGGAGGAGCTTACGAACAAGCGCTATAACGAGATAGAAATATTACGAAGATGATGCGAAGCGAATATTCCGGTGCGACGAGCGAGCTTCGTTTCGAGGAAACCGATTATTGGCAAACGTCGTGCGAAAATGTGCACCTGACGATTTTCGTATTTCGCTCCTTACTCTCCTACTGCTCCGAAGAAAGCTCGAGTTTCTTCGAGCAGCGTTCGGTTGGTTGCCTTCCGGCGCTTCTCTTCCCCTATCTCCTTCTTTCCCTTTCTCTCTCTCGCACGGGTTCGGCACACGTGCGCGCACAAACCTCTATCAATCATGCCGAGAAATTCGTTTCGCGATTCCAGCGATCGCGGTCGTTTATCCCGAATCGAGTATCGCGGTTGACCGATCGTTTCCTTCGTTTGCTTCGCCTTCTTTCGTTCCGGTTTTCCGATCGACGATACAGAGTCGCCCGCTAAAATCTAAAACGATGAATGGAAAGACTCGATCGAGAATCTGTTCGCTCTTAGAATAGCGCGGGAGGTGCGACCCTTCGGTAATACAGGAAAAAGTATAGCGATGTTTGATCGTCGACGAGGCGCGTTGCTTACCAGCGATCCGATCGGTACAGCTCTCGTCGCTTCGACGGTGAGGGAAAAAAATCCAATCAGCCGAAAGAACGGTTTCGAAGCGGAGCACCGGTCGTCGATCGAAACGTCGAAAACGGATCTAGCGTGATCGCCGCGATCGACGACGAACGACGCCGTGTTTCATCGCGCATCCACGACCTGCTGGTTCTTCCTCGAATCGAACGTCGATCGAGCACGAATCACGAAACGAGTATCGAAGAGTTTCGCGGGAAGACACGGAACGTGACGAAAGGCGCGACGCGAAGGAACGCGAAGCACGGACGGCTGTCGCGAGCCGACTGAACGTCTCGTCGGCGAACGGGAAGAACGACGCCGAGCGACCGCGGCGGAGGACGAGGAAGAGAGGTGGTGGCTTGCAACCTCTACCACGCAACCTCTGCACGCCCGAGCCTAGCTTGCACCGCTAATTCTTCCGTGCACCCTCGGCCTCGATACAGCGATCTTTTGCTCGCGATCGAGCAATCTTTCACGCCCGACGAATCGATCATCGATCGGCGAGCAAGACATCGAGCACCGATCGACCGCGTTTTCGCGCGGATCGAACGTTTGCGCTCGCCTTTGCGAGGATATCGTAAACGGTCCAGCGTGCTCCTGACGCGTCCATATATTCCCGCGAAGAAAGCCTCTGCCGTTGAAGCTGAGAAATAGCTCGCCCCCTCTCGTCCTCCTCTTCCGCCTGTATCCTCGCGACGCCTCGCCGCGCCGCACGGACTCGCGAGTCTTTCGCGATACCACGATCGCAGAATTTCCCGCGGGAAAGATAGAACGGGACGAGTCCGCGGAAATAAAGAGCGAGACGAACGAAACGACGGAAGCAAGAAACGACCCAATTCCGTGACGAGGATCCGTTCGGCGCTCGATATCGATCTCCGACGTCTTCGAACGCTCGAACCGACCGCGTGCTCTGGCGTTCCATCGTCGGAAAAAAGCGAGGACGGGAGCAGGCTTGTAGGTGTGGGCGAGAATATCTATCCCTATATCCCTATTCCTGTTTATCGGTAGAAATTCATGCGCGGCCACACGGACACGCGCGCACCGTGCTACGTCGCACCGCGCCACGCCGCGCCGGTCCACCAGCCTATTATACGTATTATTAGCACTCCGTCACGCTCCTGTCATCGCCACGTACGCTTCCGTACGCTTCTGTACGTGTGCGCGCGTCAACGCGCCGAAATTCCTGAATAACTTCCTACCTGTCCTTCCACAATTTTCAACAACACTTGCCGATATCGAAATTTCCTTTGGTCTTCGTTTTGTTTTATACCTATGCTCGGAAGAAGGACGATCCTCGTGTCAGCACTCGGTCTAGTATCTTCGTGAAATCGGTGACGCGATAGTTCCGAGCAAAAATTTCGTTAGAAACGACGAAAGTTCCGTTCCCTCGCGGCGGTAACGTCGATTCGTCGTTCGAACGCAAAGTTTCGCTCGTACGAGGATCGGTCATAAGTTTGGACGGATGATACCGTCACCGGCAGACGAATCGAAGCCACGTTTTACACGACGATCGAAAACGGATCCTAGCACTCCGCGGACATTCGTAATTTACGAGTTACCCGCTCTAGCTCGAGGTAATTTTCGTGCTCGTGAAAATTACACCGACGCGGATCGTGCTCTCCGCGACGAGGGTGGAAGCGAGACAGCCTCTCTGTCCCTCCTACTTTTCTCTTTCGCTCGCTCGCCCTGAAAGTGACGCGAAATCGTGCTCCCGGCGCGGGCTGGCTTGTACCGAGATGTCGATAGCACGAGGAGCGGATGTCAATAGCACGAAGTCGCTCCTCTCGCGAGGGAGAAACCGCGTCAGCCGATTTTACAGCATTTTTGCGAAACCGGCACGAGAAAACGCGCAGTCGTGCCCGCTCGCCGATCCTTCTCGATCGTTTTGGATACAAGTTGACGCGCTGTTTGCGCGAATCCTCGTGCCTCGACGAGCCGAACTTCCAACGAGAACGTGAAACAACTTTTCAATGGTTCGCTTTTTGCCCCCGCCAACGAATATAGCAGCCCTCGGGAGCGTTCGATCCGAACCGCTGCCGGTGACACTCTCCGCGGCTTTAACGGCCGTACTTGGAGCTGGCTTTTGTATTACTTTGCACCGCTGGGAAAGCTGCTCCCGTTCCCGTTGTGCCCGTGTCATCGAGACGCAGCGAGAGTCCGCTGCACCGGACAAACGTATCGCGCCTTCCGACTTCCCTCGTCTCTTCTTTCTCGTCGCCTTCCGCCTCGTAAGCGTTTCGAATCGAACGACGTTCGACAAAATTTTACTGCCCGGTAATCGCCCGGGCGCCGACGATTCGTCAGCTGTCGCTTCCTACGAAATCCGCGCAACTTTTAATATTTGTCTGACGCGTTACAACGGCAGCTTTCCGGTCTTAAACTGTATCTGCTCGTTCGAGACCAGCCTGTTTCGTGTCTCGCGTTAACAAAGAGCGCGTGTTGCGCGAACCGCGTGTCGAGCTCCTCTGGCTGCACGTGCAGCGGTGAAAGAACGACACTGGCTATCGAGCGAAACAGGTGAACCGAATAAGATTATACAGCTGTTTGCCCGTTTCACCGAACCGCTGTCTTTTGCCCTCGAACCGTTTCATCCCTCTCCCTCGATGTTCGTCCACAAGGAAGTTCGTGAGATCCGACGAGAGGCTGGTATTTCGAGAAACGATGATAAAAATATAAAAAAGCTTGTTATCGAGAATGTACAGCTGTACAGAATCCATTACCGAGGTATACTGACTGTTACGCAATTTTCAGAATGTTTATATGAAATTTAGTAATCCTTGAATCTATCGTGCGCTCGATCCAACGATCATAATTCTGCCGAACTTTCGGACGCGTAAACACGATAAAACGCGCAGATCCATCAGCGATCTACGAAATAAATTTTTGCTCAAATTAAATGGTTTATTTGAAGGAAGAAACGGTGTGCTGCGTTTGACCGTGTCGTGAATCGTGGTCGGAAAAGATTCGCTCCTGTCGAGAACTCTTATTTCGAAAGGTTGACGCGTCCTCGAGAAAAGAGGGAAACAGGATGGAACGGATAGAAAACAGCTGAGGCGCAGCTGGTTTCTGGCATCGCGACGGCTGGCGTCTTCCACGCGGTGCCTCGCGCCTATGTATATGCACGCGACTGACGTATGTGTACAGAACAAACCATCCATGGTAGAAAGCAGAATCGTAATCGTTGTTCGAACAACGTTTTTAGGGGAGAAACAATAAACGAGTTTGAAAAATGTTGCGATCTCGAAACTCGCTCGGGGAAAAACTCGTCTTTCGAAATAACGTTCAAGGATTCTTTAGAAAAATTTCGGCAATTATGCACGAAACGAATTTCCTACACACTTGCTATTTCTCCCTTTTCCTCCACTTCTCCGCGTAAAAGATTCGCGTATCTTTACCGGTTAGGTCTTGCAAGTATCTGAAATTATTTCAAAAAAAAGTAACTTAGAGCGAATGTACTTTGACGCGCCATCCGTTTTCCTCAAATACCGTTAGTATATGTATAAGTGCTTACGCGTTTTCCAGCGTGTCCTGTTTCCCGTGCCAACATCCTTACCGACATCTCTTCGCTTCGTCGAAAACTACGAGTCGCGGTCTAAATCGATTTTATGCGTTTCGGCCGAAATTATCTTTTATCGTGGCTTTATCTTGTATGCAAAATAATCGAGTCTGCTACAGTGTACAAACAAATGCTTTATTCGTTATTCGACGTTAACAAAATTCACAAATCTGCGATTTACAAACACGCGCTTAGTCGAGTAACAACTTTCTTATATTTCCTGAAACTTTTTTCTCAGTTTTGATAATTAATCGTCGTCGTTCGAAAGTTTATTGTCGGTTAACGATTTACGCGGATCAACGGCCGCGTAAGGAACGCGATTCCCGTCGATCTATCCTGTTTTCGGCGCCAATTCGGTCTTTTGTCTTTCCAGCGGATCTTTCAATCGAGCGAGTTAACCAGAATCGGACGTGCAGGACGTAGTATCGGCGTTACTGTGATCGTTGTTGCTCTCCGTCGACGAACTATCGTTGCTCTTTATTCGCCGTTTCCGCAGCTTTGCGAATTGAAACTCCTCAACCGGCACTGTACACCAACAATTGAAGTCGTCATTAGTTTCGTTCGCGTAAATCGTTTGCGATGCAATACGGGAATAGGGAAACGATCGTACGATCGAACGATCGGGAAATGAAGCGAAGTAAATTGCATCTAACGAAATAAAAACGAAAAGTATCTGTATTTTTGATTGCTATTATCAAAATTAATTCCATTACAACGTGACTCTTACGTTCCAGCCATAGCATCGGGCTCAACACGCTGCCGAATCGTCAACGATTCGCGTCGTAGCGATATTTTCTTTACCGTGCGCGTTTTGCGAGGAAAACGAATTGCTATGGCTGTAACATGTACATGGTATGAAGTTAACAACGAGCAGAAAAAGATTAACTTCGAGTTTCTGACAGCAAACGGTGAACAGTGTCTTAACTAATACTTATCAAAGTGTTGCGTTTCACTGGTGAATCGTGCGAAGAAACTACATTAGTGTCGTTAACGGTGATCTTCGCGTTTCTTTAATTGTACAGAGAGACCGCTAAATTTTATATACACGCTTTACATTCATATACAAACTGCCATAGAACAGTTATAGCACACACTCGATTAGAGATCTAATAGTAAATCCTTTGAACAACGAAGAGTACTCGCTACGTATACGTTCAAAATTTGTATACGTTAAAAAGATTAACGTGAAAATGTTTGCTCGTAATTAAACATTTCTCGATATAGTTACTGATCCAGTCAAATCCATAATTATCTCTTTATGCGTCGAGCAAAACGAAGAAACACCAAGTAATCCATAAACTGCGGCGGTATTTTGTTTCGCTCGACAATTTATTGTAAAAATATTTAAAAAAAAAGATGATTTTTTTCTGTGTAAGATGTTAAAACATTTCAATGCAATAACGACGAATAATCACAGTTTAAGAGAATTCATTGCACGGTACTACGATTACTTGTAGTGCAAGTTTGATTACCATCAGAATCTGGGTCTCGATCCGTAACAGTTTGAGACACGGCTGGTAATGGAACAACTTCAGGTTCCAAAGGTTTTACCGAGCAATCTACATCCTCGACGATTACTTCTTCTGCCAAACTGCTTCTTACCGCTTCTGCATAGAATAAAATAACTAGTATCGACATACGTTACTTTGTATGCTTGTTCGAATAAAGTATGATTACCGTTGAATGCTTGAGGATATTGCTGACTCAGTTTATTTTTTATGATACGAATCCTCTTGAAAATATAATCCAAATCCTTTTTCATTTCTACCAATAGCGCAGTGTGCTTTTTAAATTCTGTGCCAGCAGCCTTTAATCTATTTACAGACAATTGATTACAGTTGGTCAACATTTCGTTGGTCTTTTCGAATCTTTGTAACCTATTGCGAGACAGTTAAGTACAGATGTTAGAATGTTGGAAGATCTTATTTTATTAATACATTACACCAAGAAAAAGTTCTTACATTTGTTTTTGAGCCCTTATCATAGATTCTACATCTTGCTGATCCACTATACCAGCCAAACCTTGTACAAATACCTCAGGTGCAGTATAGTTTTGAAAGCATTCGAAGCTTCCAGGGTCAGATTCCGGTGTACCTTGTGCCGTTGCCATTTCTTAAAACCTTATACATACGCAATGGTAGTGTTCATTTGCATATATTTTTATCATTGTCATTTCCTTTTATCTCTCTAAAATAAATTGTTTATCAGTTGGGCCGTTCTTATGCATAAATGCCTCCATTGTGACGCAAATAACGTTGACATTAACCAAGAATACTGTAAGAAACCGACAACTGTTAAAAGAAAACAATCTTATGAATAATTAAACTTTTGAAGTACTGTGCATTTTTACAAAATGTCATATATTAGAACTGTCAAACTTTAAAAACGATTGGAACGTACATGTATTGCTCACTTTTGCCGATAACAACGATACATTTGTACCTGCGTATTCCTTTGAATCAATGGCGAAACGTTGTCAACTGTATAAAATATCAACGTCCGAACAAAAATAATTCTATCACGAAACGCGTAACATTTTCTCAAGCGTGTAATTCTGATATAATCGAGTTTACGTTATCTAAAATCGCGATAAATTCATTAAGCAAACAGTTTCACCTACAACAGCTGTTCGAAGTCAAATGTTTTCGAGAAGGATAATAGTGGATTCGGCATTCAAATTTCAATAGTAACTGTTGTATCCTAAACCGAAGCTTCGGAAATCTTGTGTGGAGAATAATAATTAAAAAGAAGGATATATCCACGTGTTTTTAGGTTCGGAATGGCACAAAATATAAATCCGTTTTATTCGTCGCAAAATACGCCGAGTAAACCTACGGAGGAAAAGCAAAATATACCAAAAGACAATCATGCAGTTAGTAAACGGTACGAAAACTTATGATTAGCATAAATATCGTTGACTGAATTTAAGCTTATGCATTTTTAAGTAATTCTACTTTCGTTCTTTATCGTCATTTCAATACCTATTTATTCGTTATGGTCCATGTAACAAATGTTCTGTAATCGCTATCGTAAGAAACATAACCTGCTCATAATGTTTGGGCGAAAAATTTGAAATTGGCTCGATCCCAAACTGTAAACGCTCTTCGATACGCATGTTCTACGATAGATTTATTTACAAAACATTTTCTCTGCGTTATTTATGATCATAAACGTATGTGCAGGCTACAAAAGGAACTCATGGTTTTGATGATGAGCACAGAAAAAGGTGTATCCGCTTTTCCAGATGGGGAAAATTTATTCAAATGGATAGGAACTATCACAGGACCACGTGATACGGTATTTTATATTCCAGCCAAAATTTTAATATGTATGACGGATAGAAAATATAAAATATTTCTCTTATAGGTTTATGCCGGTCTTACGTACAAATTAACTCTGGAATTTCCCCATAGTTATCCGTACAGTGCTCCGGTTGTACGTTTTGCTACTCCTTGTTTTCACCCAAATGTTGACGCGGTAGGGAATATTTGTTTGGATATATTAAAAGATAAATGGAGTGCTTTGTACGATGTTCGTACTATATTGTTATCTATACAGTCCCTTCTTAGCGGTAAGTAACTGCATATTTAAAAATGGAAATCCTTGCAAATTTCAGAAAAGCAAACACCTTTTTCTTTTCCTATAGAACCCAACAACGAGAGCCCCTTAAATCCCCTAGCTGCGAAACTGTGGAACGATCAAACAAAGTACAAGAAACATTTAACGGAAGAATATCATAGAGCTCTGAATCGTGACCAACAAGATTCATGATAAGCACATTTTTATAATTATCTCAGCTTATTCGTTTGTATTTTGAATTCGATCATAATTGAGTGTAAGGCATGCGGAAACAAATTGCATAGAATTTATGACGTTCACAAACACTGAATCTTCGGTTTGCTCTTTCCATCTATATGCTCTGTCGCGTTACGAAACGTGAATGTACCTTTTCTATCATTCATTATGATTATTTTTATTGCATAGTTTCGTCAGTTTGCCATATGTATAGGAATTTGTATCATGGTTTTAAGACTGTATCTGCGGATTAAACATTTCTACATCGTCAATTTATACCGAAAACATTTATTTATTTTTACTCTTAGTAATATATATATTATATCTATATATTGACTTTTGGATATATTTTAAACGTTTTTCATACGTACCGATCACACCGATGACATCATTTATCATTGTATAATTCGAAAATAAATATTTTAAACATCGATATTACAGATTTTATTACGTTACAGAAATATACATATTGTTATTACAGCTGTAATTCTATTCATGTACAATTATACGAGATATACACATTAAAATCGTTAGACCATCTTGGAGCAAGTTCTGTCAGTTGATCGAGCGAAATAAATAATTTTTCGGTATTTGCGATAAAGTGAGTCAGCGCTCCATCAAATTTTCGGGAATTATATAATTCTTCTGGCAATCGAACGTGACGGTTTTTGATAAAAATACGACTATAAATGAAATAAATTTTATTTACTGTTTTATAGGAATTAAAAGCAGAGTAACTTAAACAGAATAAGTATAGGCATCTATACTATACACCGAAACACCGAAAGCAAGTTTTCGCGGCTTAATCACGTGATCATCTCTCTTCGCTGCCCTATACTTTCCAGCCGATAACGAATCAGAAATTAGTCGATCATGTCAATAAAACTGTGTAGTAATTTTCTGAACCATGTACCACTTTACCTACGGGTACCAGCTTTTGCATTACCCTATTTTTCACCACGGAACTTATTTTCGTCGATGATACTAAATAATGCCACGGAGGTAAGATATATACATACATAGTTTTCAATAGCCATAGGAACGACGATAGAAAAATAATGATTAAATAATTTAACAGGAACGTAAAATTAATGTCGATGGGATAAACATTAATTACCTGAAAGTTGGAACTGGAGAACATCCAATATTACTCTTACCTGGTATTATGGGTAAGTGAAGTCCATGGTTAAGTTCACGGGACGAGAGTCCAAGAGAGAGAGAAAAGATACGCGGTAAATCTATTTCAATCTCACACGTTATGCATCGCGCCACTGAGTTTATACTATATCGCATAGATAGAGAGAGTAATAGGAAGGAGAAAGATATCTTCACCGCATGTCTTCCACTCTTCTCGGAACACCGATGCCTCTATTTCTTCGCACAGTTCACATTCCAGTTAGGGTACAACTCAATGGATTGTTGTAAATGGAGTTGGATCATTCGCGATTGGTACCTTATAGGATACCTTGGAGTAAGCATTGAAAACTTTGCACAGTCGGTAGAAAGAGAATATCTTACTCAGTCCTCTGTGCATACTATACAAGAAAGAAAGAACATTGAGATGTTTCTTTTTCTTTCTACCTGACGTCCGCAGCGCCATTCGAATGCTCACTCCTTATTCTTTAAGATTGATATACACATAGTATAAAAATTTAGTAACTTGGAATCGTTACAGCGATGATAGAATGTCATATTTCAGGCACGATTTGGAACGATTTTGGACCACAAGTGAAAAATCTGGACCGAAAGAAATTTACTCTGATAGCATGGGACCCTCCAGGCTACGGAAAATCGAGGCCACCCGAAAGATCGTTCACGGATGATTATTTGCAACGAGATGCCATTACTGCCCGTAATTTAATGAAACTGTTAGGGTACACAAAGTTTTCATTACTAGGGTGGAGTGATGGTGGCAATACTTCCTTGCTATTGGCTTCGATGTTCCCCGAAAATGTTAGAAAAATGATAGGCATTGCCCCACACTCCTACATGACGTTAGAGGAGGTCAACATTTACAAAAGTGCATTACTTTTTTTTTTTTAAAGGAGATTCTGTTTCGATACTTGTCTTCATTCTTTTATTCTCGTTTGCAGAATTGAAGAACATCGACAATTGGTCCGAGAAAATGCGAACACCGATATTGGCGGTATACGGAGCCGAATACTTTCGGAAAACCTGCTCCGATTGGGTCGATATGGTTGAAAGAGTTTACGAGAAACAGAACGGCGATATATGCAGACAGTCCCTCGCGAAGATTAAATGTCCTACTTTAATCGTATATGGGAACAAAGATGCTATTGTTGTTCCCGAGCATCCGGTTTATTTAAAGGAGCACATCGCTGGGGCAAAGTTTGTATAATTAATACAGAGTTATTTCAAAGGAATACCGATGCTTTAAATTTGCACGTTTCAGGTTGGAGATCTTTGAAAACGGAGGACACAGTCTGCATTTACGATACCCTGAAAAATTCAACGATCTTGCTACTAGATTTTTAACCGAATAATTTATGTTAAGGTGTTATGTTTGATGTTTTTGTACGTTGTATTACAGTAAAGTACGAAGTACGGAAACTCGCTGTTGCTCAATATTAATCCTAGTTGTAGTTGGTAGGAAGACATCCTTATCGAGTGCTCGAACCGTTCGTTCTACGATGGAATACATCGAATGCATGACGCGGCATAGAGGACATACGTGGGATAACCGGCGCAGAAATCGAGCCAGAGAAAGGAGCCATGAAACTAAGTGGGCGACGAAGGCTTTCCCGTAAACCTACCGTTTTCGTCAAAACCAATTTCGACATTTTTAACAAAAATCAATCGTCAAATCGCTATTCGTGAAATTTATATACTTTACATTCAATCATAGGCAGTCGATCATCGGACGACAGTTATTAATCCGATTCTTCTTTCGATCTCGATCGCATCGCGTAAAAGAGTGGATCAATACGCAGATAATTTGACGAGACGAAACAAAACGAAAATTAAAAAGGGGAGCATAGAATACGGAATAGTAGAATCCGTAGGAACGCGAAGAACCGCCCATCCGAAATATCCGCAATGCGCTTCGGACGAAAATCGATCTTCTTCCCCGTCTCGGCTACGCCCCAAAAGATCCATTCGCCAAGCAACCGCAGCGTATTTTATTTTCCGCCGCAAATTAAGTCGAAACTTTGGCAATTACTCCATTATTTTCACAACGTTATTTTGCCGAAGAAAATTATATCGGTTTTAAAAAATGAGTAAAAAAGTAAGAGTATTTTGTAGACATCGTGCGTCAAAACGTACAAAACGTAAGAAGAATACGAAAACAAATGTTTCGAGGATTTGCATCGAGAGATTATCCGCGTACAGATAGAAAGTGGTCTTGTGCCACTTATGCGGGCTTCTTTAGAGTCGAGCGAAAAACAGCGGACGATCGAGTACTGCTTTGAATCGCTCGTACGAACGAGTTACTTAAAATTACGAGTCGGTAAAATCTATGACACACTAATGGCCTCGTGACCTCGGTTACCATCAACGGTCGCTCCTTTCATTGGATAATTATTTATTTTGCTTCGGCCGATTACCGTTCCACTTTAGACCCGCAACTGAAAGTATCGGAGCAGAGTTCCAACGCTGCGCGACATGTCTTATCTTGATACGTTCGTCGTGCACTTTTTGGATTACGCGTGCGAAATTGCACGTTCCTGCGAAACATCGATCAACTTATCGGTGTAAAGGACCATGGAAAAACAAATAGAAGAGGTAACGCGTAAGATGCACTGGACCTGGCCAAATATGGATAGACCGCTCCGCGATTCGATCGCGTAAACCTGTTTTTATTCTTTTCGTTCTCTCCTCTATCTTTCTTTCTTTTCTTACAGTAGTTTTCCTTTATGTTTATTTGTTGGTTCGCGCAATCAAAAATGTGTAACAAACGCGCGTAATCGAGAACGGGATGCAAATCGTGAAGAAGAAATTTCCTCGAGTTCAATCCTTTCGTCGTGACAACAAAACAGCTTTGTTTGGATTAAGCATGACCACAACCCAAATATGTAAATGTCTTGCCCGTTTTGGAAACGAGGTATCACGATGACATCATTGTAAGCTGTTGCTCAATAAACCAGCCTGTCGCAAAATCGGATATTCTCGAGACACACGTAACGTTTATTACTTACTAAATTATTTCCTGCACTATAGTTCGTATACACGATGTATCTACGAGTGTAAATGATTGCGCATTGCGCATAGAATGTTTGTTTTAATCCACGTTGTATTGATTTGCAGCGGGTAAGTTTACAGTGACAACAGATGTGAAACGTGACAATGATACAGAAAAAGTACAAACAAAGATAAAGATGATTATCACGAAAAAAGGCGAAAACGTTGTTATTATTTGATAGTACGGTTAGTCACCTTAAAGATATAGGATTAGACGAGGAGACTGCGAGGTAACTCGATAAAAAATTTTACTTTTCTTAATTAGTGTCGTGGAGAAGCGTACTTTGTCGCTATGATTTTTAATGATCTGCCGCCGCTTTGGTACGCGAAGATGAAGTCGAGGTGCTAATTGAGACTGAAAATGAAGCGAAAGGAAAACGGGAAAAGGAAAGAGAAGGGGAGGGAAAATCGAACACAATCGAGAAGCAGGACTGCGTGACTCACAATCAGATTTCGAAGCTACCGTTATCGACTCGATTCTCCCGGTTCTCGTGGCTTTACCGTGATGTACCTCGCAGGCTGTCCTCCGAAGTAGAAAACGACACCATTTACGGCAACTTGCGGCTCCGTTGTTACTCGTTTTCAGACCCGTATCGTTCGAGATCGTTCGAGAAAGTGGTCGCGTGTCAAAATCTTGTCCTCGATACGACTCGGACACCCCCGTCCCTGTACGACCTGGTTATTCCGAAATGTCTAAAATGTGTATAAAGCACGCATCGATATTTCGACGAATCGAAAAAGCTCGTACTTAGGAAAAAATCGTGAGAAAACGAAGAGTTTCAAAATAACGGAATAGAGTTCTTGGTAATCTATATTATCGCGAATGATGCTAGGTATCGCTTTTACCGTGTCAGTCAATGCGTTGGGAATGCACTAATGCAAAACCTAGCCGGACACTAGCCGGTGTCACTTTCGAGAATATTAGCCGTGGTAATCGAAACCCGTCGATACGGATATACGGGTGCGGAAATATTTAGACGTATCCATCGTGCACAACGTCCTCGGGATCAATAAAAGTTGAGGCGGGGCAAGGTTTGGCGTGGCCGCCGTTCCGTCTCGGTTCCCTCGACCCACCGCTGTCAACGCTCCCTTCGAAACGCGCAAATTATACCCAAGATTTTCTTCGCCTTTCGAAAGATTCGTTCAAATGATCTGTTTATTAATTGCAGTCGTACTCGAGACTTTATCAATTATTTTTTGTTCGAGAGAACAAGGTACAGTTAAAGCAATTAATTGTCATACAGAGAACACTGTTAGCGTTGAAAACATAAATATTTTATAGATAATTCGTGTGTATTTAACGGTATAGCCTCAGTGATTCCGATCGATTCTCGGAACAGGGTAAAATTACGCTTTAGAAGGTCGATGGCATCGTGACTCATAACCACCCCCTTTTGACACGCAAGAGGGTATTCCGTCCATCGTTGGAAAGGACGTTGTTCGTCGCAAATTCCTCGTGTACATCGATAAAAATCGTGCGATTATTTAACGCGAATTTCAGTTCGGCGAAAGATTAATAGCAAACGTCACTTTTCTGTGAGCTCACAAAGATAAAATGTCTTTAAATAACAACTTGTTAGATCAACCGTCGATTATCGAGATGGCACGGTCCATGATAGGTAGTAACAAGGCGGAATATTCTTTTTTGTACTCGCGAGAACGTGAGCACGATGTCTTGGTTTGTCTAAATTGGCTGTGATGTCATCGAGCGTTTATATTCGCGCGAGCAACGAAGGACAATGCGCATAGAGACCATCGAGTCCGCTTTCTGTATCCAATTAAAGGATTCGTAGAGTGCAACGCAGGACCGATAAGTGATTTACATATTCCACTGCTTTTTCGCAATTTTTCAAAACAGGACAAAAGCTGTTCGATCAAAGCTCGATTCTTATCTGTCACCCGTGATAAACAAACCGATGAGTCAGAGAAAAGAGAGTACTTGAAATTGTCTATCCTTCATTTAATCGTCATGAAAATTCCTTTGATCCCGTTATCAAGACTTTTACGATGAAAACAATACCTAACACGACCGTGAAGGTTTTTAATTCATAAGAAGCTCTCACTGGGGGCAAGGTTTGGCGTGGCCGCCGTTCCGTCTCGGTTCCCTCGACCCACCGCTGTCAACGCTCCCTTCGAAACGCGCAAATTATACCCAAGATTTTCTTCGCCTTTCGAAAGATTCGTTCAAATGATCTGTTTATTAATTGCAGTCGTACTCGAGACTTTATCAATTATTTTTTGTTCGAGAGAACAAGGTACAGTTAAAGCAATTAATTGTCATACAGAGAACACTGTTAGCGTTGAAAACATAAATATTTTATAGATAATTCGTGTGTATTTAACGGTATAGCCTCAGTGATTCCGATCGATTCTCGGAACAGGGTAAAATTACGCTTTAGAAGGTCGATGGCATCGTGACTCATAACCACCCCCTTTTGACACGCAAGAGGGTATTCCGTCCATCGTTGGAAAGGACGTTGTTCGTCGCAAATTCCTCGTGTACATCGATAAAAATCGTGCGATTATTTAACGCGAATTTCAGTTCGGCGAAAGATTAATAGCAAACGTCACTTTTCTGTGAGCTCACAAAGATAAAATGTCTTTAAATAACAACTTGTTAGATCAACCGTCGATTATCGAGATGGCACGGTCCATGATAGGTAGTAACAAGGCGGAATATTCTTTTTTGTACTCGCGAGAACGTGAGCACGATGTCTTGGTTTGTCTAAATTGGCTGTGATGTCATCGAGCGTTTATATTCGCGCGAGCAACGAAGGACAATGCGCATAGAGACCATCGAGTCCGCTTTCTGTATCCAATTAAAGGATTCGTAGAGTGCAACGCAGGACCGATAAGTGATTTACATATTCCACTGCTTTTTCGCAATTTTTCAAAACAGGACAAAAGCTGTTCGATCAAAGCTCGATTCTTATCTGTCACCCGTGATAAACAAACCGATGAGTCAGAGAAAAGAGAGTACTTGAAATTGTCTATCCTTCATTTAATCGTCATGAAAATTCCTTTGATCCCGTTATCAAGACTTTTACGATGAAAACAATACCTAACACGACCGTGAAGGTTTTTAATTCATAAGAAGCTCTCACTGTATCTTGCTCTCGTTACGTCAAACGTAATCTGGGATATTTATTTTCCTCGGAAGCTGACGCGACCCGGTCCCAAACTCGTGACATTTTCCGAGAGGGTACCGTTATCGTGCTCATCGACGAAACCGAGATAGGAGCTCGCGTCGCGGAAAAGAACTGCTTCTCTCGGCTGGAATTTATATCGATAATAAATATGATCTGTTCATGGTAACCCCGTTACATACGCGTACTGTAACGCGTGTTTATCGTCGCGCGAAACAGTGCTGGTACCTTTGGGTGAGCACACGAACGGACACGTACGATGCACACGAGCAAATGTGCGGGCGTGTATGCGATTGTAGGTGATTTTTTCCTTTGAAACGAAGAACGAGTGATCCATACATGGTAACGGTGAGAAGACTGGCTTACGCGTTGCAACGCGTAACCCACCCTACCTGGCTCTCCTGTCTCCGCTCGTTCTCGACTCTTGCTTCTACCAGCTAGACGCGTAACACGCGCTCGCTCAGACTGCTCTTACGCGTCTACGCACATCAATATTTCTATGCACTCTCCACGCACCGTTCGCGAATGCTCGCTCGTCTATCAACCTACCTTTTCGCACGATTCTACGTTTGTACGGCCGTGACGGGTGAAAACACGCGAAATATGCACGAAATGTCGAGCGAAGAGACGAAACTATTTCATCGAAATGCGTGGAAATATGGAAAAGTTTGAAACGCCTTAAAGAAAGTCTGGGAATGAAATTTTCATTAGATCCTTAATATTTAGGTGGGCGTGTACTACCTCGGTGACTCATGTATCGACTTTTCTCCCAGTCAGGTTAGGATAAGCAGGGTAGATTTAAGGTGAATCGTAGGTAAGGACGAAAGAGGTTACGAAACGAACGGAGATCGTATGTTTCGTACAAAACGTTCATGACATTTGAAGATCGACATTTGCGTAAATAATGCATACAAGGTACCGATGCAACAATACGGTAATAAAAACAAAACATTGCTGCAAGCAATTTTTCAGTATAGAATCAACGACGAATATATTCTAATTTGCTTCGGAAGAGTTGCGCCTGCACGAACTTCGTTAACCTAACGGTAATTTTTAAACTAGCAGTCACGGCCGAACAAGCTAACCTTTAATTTATTCTATATATTCAAATAAAGACGTTACTTAATGGCAGAAAGCGTTGATTTTGTTCGCTGAAATTTTCGAGAATCGTAATTCGTCAATTAGCGAATATAGCTACACAAATATTAACTACGCGGAAATCGTTGTTGCACCCGCAGCATTTGCATCATTGATTTTTTTTCCTTCGATAACGAGATAATTCTCGAGAGGATCGGGAGAAGGAGGTCGAACCCGTGGGCCGACGATGTCGGTCTGCAATTTTGGCGAATCGAAATTTTCAACGATGTCACATCCGTAGGAGCTAGAGCTCCGTTGAGCGCAGAATCGAACGAGCAGTTGGCAACGCTGCGAACGCCGTGAACGCTGGCTGGTGAAAAAGCGGCGGGGCCCGGGTGCCAACCAATAGGAAGCGTCGCTTGGGACGCCCCCCTTCGCCCCACTGCGGTCGCATCGAAGCTAGAAAATCTGTAACGGACGCCGCTGCCAGGGCATATTCGTTTCTGGGCTCTCGTGACGAGTTGGCGTGTACTTCGTCGTTGGTTCAATAACTGCAGTAAGCTTCGTAAAAGTCCAAGAAACTACAAACAACATGAGAGAAATCGTCCATATCCAAGCCGGCCAGTGCGGTAACCAAATTGGCGCAAAGGTAAGAGTTAGAAATCGTTTTCTCGAAATAATCGGATTCGTGGCCGCGTGGAAAGTAAACGCTTCCTTTGTTCGACACCGCGATTAATTCTTTGATCTAATTCTCGTGGAATCGTGTTCGTCGCGATTGTTCGGTTCGTTCGATTCTCTTCGCGTCGTAACAAGTAGGAATAGAACGTTCTACCAACGAACGAGAAAGACGCCGAGACCTAGTTCGAATTTCTCGTATACGCGATAGTCGTTTCACGGGCGTATCGTGTTTTTCGTTAAAATACCGAGATATTTTCCGTTTTCCGAAAGCTTGAACCACCGTGATTCGACGAACGATATTATGCGCAAAGTACGCGGTACTGTTGGTATGCGAAAAAACGGCAACTCCGCTCGGTCGAAGACCTGTCATGGCGACAGAAGCTCGCCGGCCGGTAAGCGTACTTAACGGTTTTTTTTCCAACGATGCGCGTCCCCCGATGAATGCGACGCTTCGTTATCGAACATTCGAATATTTTTTCCGTCGCTGCTTATCGCTTTACATTGAAACTTGAATGCATTTCGAAGAAGAAAAAACATTAGAGAACATACGAGAGAAAATTTCGGTTGAAACGATAGGAGTCTGGGCGTGGCTATCTCTAGCGTCAAGATACACCGGTTGATGCGGCAACGGAATCGAACGGTTGCGCGCGCAATCGATGCGCGTGCGCGCGCGTACGGGTGTTCTCTCTCTCTTCTCGTTCGCTCTCTTTTTTCCTCTCTGCTTCTCTTCCCCTTTCTCGCCTATAAATTCTTTGCTCGCATCTGCTTTACAAGCTCGATGCATACCTCTGTCACGGTGTACGTGTATTAATATCTTGCGCCGTTGCATTAATTCCAAACTATGTTCCTCTTAAATTTAAAATTTTAATCGAATACATTCATAAAACGATCAATTGTACGTTGTCATTATCATAAAAATAATTGATTCTTCTTTTTACTCGGTGATGTTAGGTTCGTTTTTTTTTACCTGCTTAATGATGTTAAAAAAACAAGTGGACAGCGATCGAATTTGTATTTCGCGGTCGCATTATATAATAATATGCATAATTATCATAGCAACAGAATTGCAGGGATGGCGTATGCGGCAAGCAACCGCGATCGCAGTCACGCTCTCATAGTTTTCAAGGCTGTTTCATTGAGTCAACGTCCGCTTCCTAAATTATACTTCTCGATCCATAATGTGGTACTATCGATAATTTCCGGTAGCAGTTCCCACACATTTTTTTATAAATTTCTATTTTTTGTACTCGGATCGATACAAGCTCCTTTTTCAATTACGTAACAGTTACAACTACTATCCATTCAGGGATCTTGTAGTCCAAGGACATCGTGTCTTGCGTAGTAGGGTGAAACGTTCCGAACTAAAGAAGGAGATATCCTTTCGCCATTTTCTTTCGCGTCATCTTGACCGGCCGGCCGGTTTCTACTTATCTCTAGCGACCCTCCAGATATAGCCAGAAAAATTAGCAACGATTATTATCTTTTTTGTAACAAATTCCTTATCTCCGTAATTAATAATTACATCTTTATCTTTAATCGAAAGTCTTGGATTTTGCTCTGCTTTTCGAGCTACGTTCGAAATTCTCGACTATGTACAGTGGAGATAGGCAAACGATCGATGACGGAGTGCACGAACGATTGATCGTAAACAGAACGGCAAAGTGCATAGATTGGATATGGTAGCTTATGTTAATTTCACGAGATTGGTATTACAAGCATCGTTTCTATATATAGCGATGACATTGGTGACTCATCTCGCTATATTATACACACGTTGTTGCGTGTACAGGTCGTTAGGTGGGAGGTATAGTAAGGTTGGACAGTTGCTCTTGGCTTTCCATCGATGTTCATATATGGTCACACGACTCGATACGCGTATTGTTTCCATGTAGGATGTTGCAGTTCTCGTAGGTGTGAAGTCATTACCGGTACTCGACTTACTCGGAAGTTGAATGAAGTTTGTACGTTCGCGAAGATGAAAGGAAAAGTAAACGGTAGACCGATAGATATTCGTGTATTTGTTACGCGTACACCTACGTAGTCTGTACCGCCGGACCACATTGATTTCCAGAAATACACTGCAAGGTCTTTGAACTATGGTCAAGAGAGGTGGACGCATTCTCTGAGCAGAGAGAATGCTGATTGTGCCACGCGTTGCTCCGCTACACCTTCGCGCAACGCGTTCGTCCGCGTCCAATAATTAATTTTGCCCATAGACTACTGCTCGAACGACGTACTCTTTACATATATCAGAAAGATTGTACAGAGAAACATGTAAGCAACGGAAAGAGAAAAAATGTTCCATCCTGTCCAGGTCTTAATGAATGCGCGTATTACGACTAATTACACGCGAGCTATTCACCGGCGGGGTCGTCGAACTGTTGCCTCGGTCGATAATACGGAAGACTGGAAACGGATGCGAGGAGGGTAATGGCGAAGAGAAAGCGTCGACCAACGTCAAGTACAATCCTTCCGCTTCTCCTACATTCGCGTGTACCAATCTTGAGTCATACCGGAGAATATCGCGATAAATTTTAAATACTCGAATCGAAAATCTGATAAGATAAAATAATCGCGTCATCTGGTAATTTCGAATACGAATCATCGAGACTTCTCGAATGAAACTCATACGAAAAATACTCTGTTACAGTTTTGGGAAATCATCAGCGACGAGCATGGCATCGACCCAACTGGCACGTATCATGGCGATTCGGATCTTCAATTGGAGAGGATCAACGTGTACTACAATGAAGCGTCCGGTGGCAAATACGTGCCGCGTGCCATCCTCGTCGACTTGGAGCCGGGCACCATGGACTCTGTTCGATCGGGACCTTTCGGACAGATCTTCAGACCGGACAACTTCGTGTTCGGCCAGTCTGGAGCTGGTAACAACTGGGCAAAGGGTCACTACACCGAAGGTGCGGAGTTGGTCGATTCCGTGTTGGACGTAGTCAGGAAGGAAGCCGAGAATTGCGATTGCCTGCAAGGCTTCCAGCTAACTCACTCTCTCGGCGGTGGTACCGGTTCCGGTATGGGAACGCTGTTGATCTCGAAAATCCGCGAAGAATACCCCGACAGAATAATGAACACGTATTCCGTCGTACCGTCCCCCAAAGTATCGGACACCGTCGTCGAACCATACAACGCGACCCTCTCCGTACATCAGCTGGTAGAAAACACCGACGAAACTTATTGTATCGACAACGAGGCCCTCTACGATATTTGCTTCCGCACCCTGAAACTGTCCACGCCTACATACGGTGATCTGAACCACCTCGTCTCCCTCACGATGTCCGGTGTCACGACTTGTTTGAGGTTCCCTGGTCAGTTGAACGCTGACTTGAGGAAACTCGCCGTCAACATGGTACCCTTCCCTCGTCTGCACTTCTTCATGCCAGGTTTCGCGCCACTCACATCCCGCGGTAGCCAACAATACAGAGCACTCTCCGTACCCGAACTCACCCAACAAATGTTCGACGCTAAGAACATGATGGCCGCCTGCGATCCCAGGCACGGAAGGTACCTCACGGTAGCAGCCATTTTCCGTGGCAGAATGTCGATGAAAGAGGTCGACGAACAGATGTTGAACATCCAGAACAAGAACAGCTCGTACTTCGTCGAATGGATCCCCAACAACGTGAAGACAGCCGTCTGCGACATCCCACCCCGCGGCCTGAAAATGTCTGCCACCTTCATTGGAAACTCGACCGCCATCCAAGAGCTTTTCAAGAGAATTTCCGAACAGTTCACCGCTATGTTCAGGAGAAAAGCTTTCCTTCACTGGTACACCGGCGAGGGTATGGACGAGATGGAATTCACGGAAGCCGAATCAAACATGAACGATCTGGTTTCCGAATACCAGCAGTACCAGGAAGCCACCGCCGACGAAGACGCGGAATTCGACGACGAACAGGAAGCCGAGGTCGACGAGAACTAAAGACCCACTTACCATCCCTCTACCCCCGTTATCTCTCTTTGCTCGTACTGCTTTTTAACTCTGCGTTTACCTTCCGTTTTTCTTTTTTATTTCTTTTTTACAGACTGTTCTGACGCGCTTTCTATTTTCGTTAGTAATATCGCACTCGTCGAGATAATCCGAAAATAATACTTTATCTATTATTTTCTTTTCTCCGCGTCGTTTTCTCTATCGATTTATTACCGTTTACGAGGCGCGTCTTTGTATTCAGTGTATAAGCCGCTGTAGCGGTCACCATCATCTTTCAATAAATTATTATCATATAAGTTTACGGTTTTATAAGAACATCCTTTATTATCGGCCGCATACGAGTATTACCGCAATTCAGACGATTAGTTTCTATTTATAAATCTATATTACCGTAGGCATATTTGTATTTATATTTGTCCCTTTTATCTACCAACTTTTATACTATGACAAACAGATCTGAATAAAGTAGATCATTCGATCAAGCAGTACCAACCCAAGTTATCGTAATTAAATATCCGATTAACGTTATCATCGTCTAATCATTATCCGAAACGCAAACCCAATACTTCCACGTAATTCGCGATCAACGTTGTCGCGCAGATAAAGCGTAGTTCAAAGTTTCGAATCGAGTCTCGTATAATTTATTAACTACGTATTAAATTGATAAGACACGGTTTACCGAAAAGTGCTTTTAACGCTAAACATAAAGGGGGTCCGCGTTCGAACGATAAAATAATTAGATCGTGTCGCCATCTGTCGAAGCTACGTAATTGAAATGACCTCTGGTTTAATGGTATTAGTGAAATGCAGATACCGAATTTATTGACTGTCAAAGAATGCAATTTCTTTTTTCATCGCGCGCGTTGTTTAAGATAAATTTAAAATTGTCTCTTTTTCTGTAATAATAATTCACCAAACTTTCTTTACTCGTTTTCGAAATTATTCTACAGAGGATATGAAAGGACCAGTTAGCGAATAAAATTCCAAAAAGATTTTCGCAATAGGGAATTGATAAAAATTCTATTATAGGATGTAAAGTTTGCGGTTTGAGGATACAATGACTTCGCACGAGTCACAGTTTCGATAAAATTTTAACCACCATGTCTCGTTAGTTGGCTAACGGATTAACATTGTACAGTTAAGTCGATGGAATTGGAGCATCGTGGTTGTCCACCGTATCTGTCGGTTTTACCCGCAGACTTCGATGCCAAGTTTAGCCGAAACGACATGCAGACGGTCTGAAAAGCTCTTTCGGTTTAAGCTTTAGAACCATCGTTCCTCCACTTACATCGTGGTAGCTTTTCCGGTTAATCGTCACGAAACGAGATTACGATTTTCCAAATCACTTTCTCGAAAAGAGTCGTCAGGAAAGTGAGTTAGACAGACGCGTCGCGGTTGGTTTTCTCGTAGACAAAGCTGCAGACAACGACCTCGTGCCACACAAGGTATGACTCATCGTCCGAGTATACGTAGCGGCGCGGCGTCTCGCTTCGCGAATTCGATTCAACTCGGCAGACTAATTGCGAGAGTGCTTTGTCTGGTTTCGAGCAAGTTACACGCGACTCCGAAATCGCTCGATTCCGATAAGCCGATAAGGACCGTTCCAGCGATGCGCTCGATTATCCAGAAAAGTACGTCGAAGGAAGAAAAACCGAGCGTGAGGTGCGGAGAGAATTACAATAATAGAAAAAGGGTTTGTACAGCGGTAGGGGATCGGCCAAGAGCAACGCTCAGCTGGAGACCATGCGACGTTCTTTCTCCTCGACTATCGTCGCTTTCGACGAACAGCGAAGAAAGCGACGTTTCGGCGATGACTCACGGGACGAAAGGGTCTTCGCTAGACTCGTTTTGAACAGATCTTTTTCGTTTCCGAGCGATATTCGCCACCGGAGAATGCGCGGAATTCGTGGCACGCGAATCCAACCGCGGCAAAGGAAAAGAAACCGACAAAGGGGAAACGCATTATCGCGATCCTTCTTTGAACCGCGATTCGCGACGAATATTCTCGCTCGAATTACGTATCGATCGACTTCGATTCGAGTTCATCGAACAGGATATCCCGTTCTTACGGTCCAGTTTTTCATTTCCGTAGAGAGAAAGGCGAACGTTGAAAGCGTCGATCGGACGAAACCCTCTCGAAGCGTCTCGACTCACCACGGTCACGCTTAACGAGCGTCGATCGATCGCGTCGAAACGCGTCGCACGTTCGTGGAAAAAAAAAGTACGATTCGTCTAGCGGTGGAGCGTAAGGACAAGTCAACAGCGAAGTGCCTTCCTGTCTCCTACATCCCATATTCTCTTAGGCTATTCGAAACGACGCGATAATCAAACGCGAGAAGAGATAAAAGGCGAAGGTAAATCTTTTCGACGAAGGGTGATAGTGGTCGAAGAAAGCCGCACCTTGCGTCGGAAACATGGCACGTTCGATGATCGTGGTATCGTTTCTGCGAGCGAGCGTTATCATCCTAAAGGCTGTTAGCCCTCCCTTTTCCTCGTTTCTTCGTCGAAAGCGTTCTCGCCGGATGGAGAGAATCTTGCTCTCCTCCCTCCCTTCCTTCGTTCCTCCCTGTGTCCCGTGGTGGCAGTCCAGAAGCGTAGCGGGCCGAGAGTCGAGTTCAGGACAGCGACGCGAACGCGTTTCCTCGTCAGTTTCGCTCCGGTCCGCTCCACGCTCGTGCACTCCTGCGCGACATTTGGCTGCACGCGCTCTCTGCTCGCATCGCAGGTATACCCTCGTCGCTCGCACGTCTAGGACATCCACCGCTGGCCCGTACATTGACATCCGAGGATCGATCAGCCGTTACCTGCCACAAGCACATTTTTCTCCTCGCCATTTCTGTACGTGACAGCGAACGTGAACAAAAGCGGAGTTCAGAATGAGGGAAATCGTGCATCTGCAGGCTGGACAATGCGGCAACCAGATCGGCGCGAAGGTAGGTCATGGTACTTTTCGACGCTCGACTTTGTCAGGATCATAGAAATTTTCTTTGCTTTTGGAAAAGGAATTCTGTGATCGATCTACGATTCTTGATCGTCGACGTTTTCACAGTTTTTTAGTGTCAGCGCGATCAGTTCTTTTCCGTTCCGAGTCCGCGGCGTTAACCGAGCCCGTAATCGAATTAAAGATAAGGCGTGGACGGTGAGCAATCGGCGGATGGAATTTAAAGGGGCTCCTCAGACCGCGAACGTCGCGAAGGGTCTCGGCGTACGCGTTGATACCGCTCTTTCTCCCTCCTTCTTCCGCTCAATTTTCCTCTCTTCGAATTTCTTCACGAGCTCCCTTCCTCGTAAACGAAGCTTCTATTACCTACCGCAATGTGCTCGTCTCGAGCGATTCCGGGTTCCAAAATATCTCGTCTCTAACTAAAATAAACGTTCTCGAAACTGGTCGGGAACTCGATCTGGGGGGTATCGTTCGTCGCTGTTTCCCCATAATCATCAAACTCACGATAAGCAAAACAATCGATTCGGTATCGATCGCGTTCTTCGCTTCTCGAAGGCTCGGTTTTCTGGGATCATCTTTCCCAGTTGAAACTCTTTCGTGCGGAAAATGACGACCACCCGACCGGCTGTAAATTGCGTTCTGAACAAAGAGAATTGTTCGTTTCTGGTCGAGAAAGGAAGCTTCGGTGACGAGCAATTGAACGGAAGAGAACACAACAGCATTCTCCCTAACTGGCTGCTCCGTTCTGCCAATTAAGCGTCGCTCCTTTCCAGATATCTCGCTAAATTCTACTCGCGAAAAGACTTGGACCCGATACCATAGAGACCACGGAACGATTTCTCCTCATACGAGATAGGTCCAAGATAAGGATCGAATCGGTTCGTAGTTGTTCTGGTCGACGAAACGAACCACGATAGCTATTAATAGCGGAGAGAAAATAGCAAGGGCCAGATAAACGGAGAAGAGGAACGGGGCGCCAAGGAGGGTGAACTAAGGGACGCAGGGTCCGCGAACGTTTCTGTTTTTAGATTTCACTTTGAGAGAGTTATTAGTCCCAAAGTAGTTTCTTCGCTTTTCCACGCTATTATTATGCACCGTCATCCGGTCTATTCGAATCTCGCGTTTGTCTTTTCAGTTCTGGGAAGTGATCTCCGAGGAACACGGCATCGATCAATCGGGCATCTACCATGGGGACAGTGATCTTCAGTTGGAGCGAATCTCCGTCTACTACAACGAGGCTTCCGGTAAGAATTCGTCAAAAAAATTGTCGACCCGAAAATATCGATGGATTTCGTGTCGGTCTCTCTTTGTTCTTTTTTATCGGAGGAAAAAGCACCGAACTATCCTGAACGTTTCGTTCGGAATAGCGTGCGCGTGTACTCGAAAATAGACGAGGCGCGAGGATACGCGGAACGCGAGAGAAAACGAACAACGAGAGACAGGACGCGTTTTGCGACCGAAATAGCCGCTTTGTGCGTTCACCCCTCGCTGTTACCCCGACTGGGGACCAGTTTTGCGCGTGCCCCTTCTTTCGATTCTACGCGTTTACGCGCACCGACCGCGACTCTCGCCGAAGATGCTCGAAATTATTCGCGGCGAGGCACGGTTACGTAGGAAACGCGACTTCGTGACTAGTTTGCAAACCGCGCAGGTGACTGTGCGCCATCGAAACCGTATACGCGTTTCCGTCGACCATTTAAAGACGCGGTGTCGAGTTTTCGGCGGAATAACAATGGCCATCGCATCGCTACGAACCATTGGCGTATTCGCGGCTTTGGCACTTAATTTTATGCCGGAAACAATAGTACAGCGACGGTCACGGAAAGTTTCCCACGTAATTTTACGAACGATAGACTCCGCGGAATGCGCGATCATCGAAGCGTCCTGCGGGCGTGTTCGCGATATCGAGGCACATCGATTTTCATAACGGTGTTTGCTACTCGCTACAGTTTTCTCGAACATATTACCGAATGGCCGGCGTCTTTATCGTCGGAGTTTACCCTATCCGAACAGGGGACGCCTTGTACAAACAGTCTGTACCCTTAGTCATCGATGTTGGAGTACGTCGTCCACGCTCTAAAAATAACTAAATATATGCGTCTGCCGAAACGTTCCATGGTCGTTCATGTTAATTTCGTATCCATTTCAGTTGCCACGTCCACGAACGGTGGAAAGTACGTGCCTCGAGCGATCCTGCTGGACCTGGAACCAGGCACGATGGACGCGGTTCGTTCGGGCGCGTACGGGAAACTCTTCCGACCGGACAACTTCGTGTTCGGTCAGTCCGGAGCTGGTAACAACTGGGCGAAGGGACACTACACGGAGGGCGCCGAATTGGTCGACTCCGTTCTGGACGTGGTCAGGAAAGAATGCGAGAACTGCGACTGTCTGCAAGGTTTCCAGCTGACTCATTCCCTCGGGGGCGGTACCGGATCCGGTATGGGCACGCTGCTCATCTCCAAGATCCGCGAGGAGTATCCGGACAGAATAATGAACACGTATTCGGTGATGCCGTCCCCTAAAGTGTCGGACACGGTGGTGGAGCCATACAACGCGACGCTTTCCGTTCATCAGCTGGTCGAGAACACCGACGAGACCTACTGCATCGACAACGAGGCCCTCTACGACATCTGCTTCCGCACTTTGAAGGTTTCGAACCCCAGTTACGGAGACTTGAATCATCTGGTCTCGCTCACCATGTCCGGCGTCACGACCTGTCTCAGGTTTCCCGGCCAACTGAACGCCGACCTGAGGAAACTCGCGGTGAACATGGTTCCCTTCCCTCGACTACACTTCTTCATGCCCGGCTTTGCGCCGCTAACCTCTAGGTCCATGCAACAATACTCGGCGCTCTCGGTGCCGGAGCTCACGCAACAGATGTTCGACGCTAAGAACATGATGGCCGCCTGCGACCCCAGACACGGCCGGTACTTGACCGTGGCCGCCGTCTTCCGCGGCAGAATGTCCATGAAGGAAGTGGACGAGCAAATGCTCAGCGTACAGAACAAGAACAGCTCGTACTTCGTCGAGTGGATACCGAACAACGTGAAGACAGCCGTCTGCGACATACCGCCGAAAGGATTGAAGATGTCGTCGACCTTCATCGGAAACACGACCGCTATCCAAGAACTGTTCAAGAGAATTTCAGAGCAATTCACCGCCATGTTCCGCAGGAAAGCTTTCCTGCACTGGTACACCGGCGAAGGCATGGACGAGATGGAGTTCACCGAGGCGGAGTCGAACATGAACGATCTGGTGTCGGAGTACCAACAGTACCAAGAAGCCACCGCCGAGGAAGATTTCGAGGCCGAAGAATGCGCCGACGACTTCGAGACTTGCGATCAAGAGTAAACCGAACCTCTTCGTTCCTCGTCTCTTTCAGCTTCGTCGACGTAGCAGCGAGAGGAGTATCTCTCTTCCCTTTTCTCTCTTTTATACTTTTATACGCGACATTTTTCTACGATCGCGGAGTTTGGCGCAGCGACCGGTACCTCGAGTGTTCCCTCGTTCCCCGACCAAATTTCGCTTTCGAACGACTGACTGGTTGCTGCGCTTCGCCCCGTTTGTACCAGCAAAGAGGATGGCGTGAAGCTCGAGAGTTAGGTAAAAACGTAACGTAGCCAGTCCGATGTCCAGGGTTCGCGAACAGCGACTCGACCAAACGCCAAAGCGCTCGAACCAAAAATCTACCTTTTACCGCGACAACCAATGTATCTACCGTTTGCGTATAATCGTGGCAAGCGTTTTTAATGTAGCGCAAGTTTGTTCCTTGAAAAAATATATGTTTTATCGGGTATTTAAGTTTCGTTTCTTTCTCCTGTGCCCTTCGACCTTTCCTCGAACGGCCATAAATCATTCCTCGTATTCTAGCAATTCCTCGTCGTACTCGGTCTCGGTCAGCGCTTCTTGATGTCGTTGATACTCGGAAACGAGATCGTGCAACGCGGTCTGAGACTCGACGAACTCGGTCTCATCCATCCCCTCGGCCGTGTACCAATGCACGTACGCCTTCTTCTTCAGCATGCCACTGAACGAGTTCGTCAGTCTCTTGAACAGCTCCTGAATCGCCGTCGTGTTCGATATGATGGTGGCGCTCATGCTGAGACCTCGCGGTGGAACGTCGCAGATGGCCGTCTGTACGTTGTTCGGGATCCACTCTATGAAATAGGAGCTGTTCTTGTTTCGAATGTTCAACATTTGTTCGTCCACGAGCTAAAAAATAAACGAGAGGTTCTTTTCGATTCGGAAACTCGAGTTCGATTCTCTGACCTTCGTCGACATTCTGCCCCTAAAGATGGCGGCCACCGTGAAGAATTTTCCCTTACTAGGATTGCAGTAGGCGAACATGCTGTTGGCATGGAACAACTGTTGCGTCAATTGCGGAACCGACGGTACAATAAAAGGGGCGGCCGATCTAGACGTGAGAGGAGCATAGCCGGGCACGAAGAAGTGCAACCTCGGATAGGGCACCAAGTTAACCAGCAGCTTTCTCAGATCGGTGTTCAATTGACCAGGGAATCGTAGGCAAGTGGTGATGCCCGCCATGCAGGCGGATATCAGGTGATTCGCGTCGCCGAACGTCGGCGTGGTGAGCTTCAAAACGTGCGTGCAAACATGATGCAGAGCTTGATTGTCCATGCAAAAGGTTTCGTCCGTGTTCTCCATCGATTTGCCGAGAGCCAGTACCGCGTTATACGGCTCCACCACCACGTCCGACATCGTTGGCGACGGTATGACGCTGTAGCTCTTTAGAATTCTCTCCGGATACTCTTCCTTCAGCTTGATGGTCAACAGCGCACCCATACCGGCTCCGGTGCCGCCGCCCAGCGAATGAACCATTTGAATGCCTGCATCGAAACCGATCAAACGCGTGATTCTACGCATCACGACGAATCTTGGCGAAACTCGTCCTAACCTTGCATCAGGTCGCAGGCTTCGGCCTCCCTGCGAACCAGATCTAACACCGTGTCGGCCAGCTCGGCTCCTTCCGTGTAGAAACCCTTTGCCCAATTGTTCGCCGCCCCTGCATGGCCCGCCACGAAATTGTCGGGCTTGAACAATCGCCCATAAGAGGTGGACAACACGGAGTTCAAGCTCCCACGGTCGAGATCTACCAGAACGGCTCTTGGCACGTACCTATCGCCTGAGAAAACGTCCCGACGTTTATCGACTTTCCCCGATATCGAATAGAAAAAGAAAACGGAGTCGTAACAGATACCTGGTCCCTCCGAGAAATACACGTTCAATCGTTGCGACTGAAGATCGGACTCGCCGCAAAATATTCCATCTGTTCTCAAGCCATGCTCGTCGGAAATTACCTCCCAAAACTGCGAGCGAATTCTGCGCGTTCGTACATCATCGTTCGTATCGCGTTCGACGTCGAAACATGCTGACAAAAGGAGTCTGGTCGCCTTACCTTTACTCCCACGTTGTTTCCGCACTGACCAATTTGTAACACCACGATTTCCCTCATTTTCTATGCTGGTACCGGGTATTGAAATTTTTCTGAGAACTTGGAATTTTGAAGGTTTCGAGTGCCGAAAGAGACTACGATCTGCGGCTACTTTCGCTCGAGATCGTATCGAATCGATAAAGACAGGCAAATTCGAGACTAGGGTTCGGCGAGTTCGCAACGATGCGCGACGATAACGAAGCGTTTATCCTCGACGCACCCACGAGAGATGATACGCCATCGCCAATATTTTATCAAGGCCTCGTCTTCATCAATCCCAGTTGCGATTAATTCCTTCGTATCGTCGCGTCGTCGACCGTCATCGATCTAATTTACGTACTCTGATCGTATTAACGCGTTCGATGTACAGGTACGGAGACATTCGCTTGACAAATAGAAGATGTAGGTTCGAGGTTCAGTGCAATGAATATACGAGAGAAATTGAATGATCGATAGGAAAGCGATAATTATCGAGCCTTGTCGATTTAGCCCGTGTCCAAATTTTAATCAACGAGAAAGAATACGTCAAATGAAATGAGATATCGATTTTCTGCAATTAATGACGAGTCCACATAAAAGGCACCGATACCCGCCGCATCGGAAAGATGTCCGAACAGGTACCGGTACCTTTCCTGCTCGAAACGTGCCCCTACGACGTAAGGAGTATCTATTAAATGTTCAACAAAGATAATACAACGTTTCTAGACACTTACAAGATAGATATACGTGTATATATGCATATGTATATTATATCGTACGATCTTATACGAACATGTGTGCCTGCGTATGTATACGTGTGTGCGTACATATATATGTATATATATAAAAATCGATCAAAAACCATTGGTAAAAAGATCACAAAAGGTATACAAACCGAACGCGAGCGTTCGTTATAATAAATGGAATCGGAAAATAGGCTTTCGTTCGAGTCGGTGCCGACGGTTCACGGTATTAGCGTCTCTCGTCCACGAGAAATTTTCGGTACGTCGTTACGGTTTCTTCGACGCGAAACACGGGCTAGACGATGACGGTGACGACGAAGAAGGGCGAGAGAAGCGCCCGTTACTTCTCCGTCTCCTCCTCCTCGTCGAACTCTCCCTCGTCCTCCGCGGTAGCTTCCTGGTACTGCTGATACTCCGACACCAGATCGTTCATGTTCGACTCGGCCTCCGTGAATTCCATCTCGTCCATGCCCTCGCCCGTGTACCAATGGAGGAAAGCTTTTCTTCTGAACATGGCGGTGAACTGCTCGGAAATTCTCTTGAACAGCTCCTGAATGGCCGTGGAGTTCCCGATGAAAGTGGCGGACATTTTCAAACCGCGCGGTGGTATGTCGCAGACGGCCGTCTTCACGTTGTTCGGAATCCACTCGACGAAGTACGAGCTATTCTTGTTCTGAATGTTCAACATTTGCTCGTCGACCTCCTTCATCGACATTCGGCCGCGAAACACGGCGGCCACGGTCAAGTATCGTCCGTGTCTAGGGTCGCAGGCGGCCATCATATTCTTCGCGTCGAACATTTGCTGAGTGAGCTCCGGAACCGTCAACGCCCTATATTGCTGACTTCCTCGAGAGGTGAGCGGCGCGAAACCGGGCATGAAGAAGTGCAATCGCGGAAATGGTACCATGTTCACGGCGAGCTTCCTGAGGTCCGCGTTCAGTTGTCCTGGAAATCTTAGGCAGGTGGTCACTCCGGACATCGTGGCCGACACCAGATGATTCAGATCTCCATAAGTCGGGGTGATGAGTTTCAAGGTACGGAAACAGATGTCGTAGAGGGCCTCGTTGTCGATACAGTAAGCTTGATCGGTGTTCTCGACCAATTGATGCACGGACAATGTCGCGTTGTAGGGCTCGACCACGGTATCGGATACCTTCGGAGACGGTACCACGGAGAATGTGGTCATTATTCGGTCCGGGTATTCTTCGCGAATTTTCGAGATCAACAGGGTACCCATCCCGGAACCGGTACCACCGCCGAGCGAGTGGGTCAGCTGAAATCCCTGCAGACAGTCGCAACTCTCGGCTTCTTTCCTGACCACGTCCAGAACGGAGTCGACCAACTCGGCACCCTCGGTGTAATGTCCCTTAGCCCAGTTGTTACCAGCTCCGGACTGACCGAAGACGAAGTTGTCCGGCCTGAAGATCTCTCCGAACGGTCCTGAGCGTACGGAGTCCATAGTTCCCGGCTCCAAGTCCACGAGGATGGCGCGCGGCACGTACTTGCCACCGGAAGCTTCGTTGTAGTACACGTTGATCCTTTCGAGCTGCAGGTCCGAATCTCCGTGATACTCACCGGTAGGATCGATGCCATGCTCGTCCGAAATCACCTCCCAGAACTGTCGCGTGAAAAGAAAACGATTCGTACGCGTTCATCGTTTCGGAAAGGTTAGACGTGCCAGCGTCGCTTCGATCGCGTTCGCGTCAAACACTACGATACAACGAATTAACCAAGAATCGGACTTTTCGAAACGTTCGCCGATCGCGCGAACCCACTGACCTTGGCACCGATCTGATTGCCGCATTGTCCAGCCTGTATGTGTACGATTTCTCGCATCTTTCGATCGGGTCGGAGAGAACGGAAACACTGTGGAAAATTCAACGAACGATTTTCTCGATTTCCTCACGTAACCGCGAGGATGGTCCGTCGGTGGATGGGACGTCGAAGGACGAGGCGAGGTACGGTGGCTCGTGGCTCCTCGACTCGAACACGTATCGCCGAGAACGTCTCGGAAAATGTCTCGAACAAACAGAAACAGACGAACGTTCGATTCTCCATGGCGACGCCGAATTTCCGCGTACCACGATCTTTACGCTACCCGCGCATTTTGTCCGTTGGAAAACCGAAACGGCGAAACGCTACGTTTCTTCGACGGTTCCCGCGAGAAGTCGCGCACTGCCGTCCCGTCTCGAATCGATCTCGCGATCGCGAACACCAAAAGTTTGACGACGATACGGAAAGCGGGCTCGAGTCGCGGGTCTCATTGCGTTTTCCTCTGTTCGACGATCACGACCGTCGTGTCCTGGCGCTTTTCGTCGGCGTCCGCGACCTCCTCCTCCTTCCGTGGCTCGCTCGATGGCTGACTCGCTCGCGAATTTTCAGACTCCTGGGCAGTCGCTTCCTCCGGCGCCTGCGACGACCGATTTCCCGGTTTGCCGTTCACCAAGTACCTCAGCGGCATCCACTCCGTCTTCTCCTCCTTCTCGGTGTGTTTCCTGCAAAGTACAAATCTAGTGGATCACGGTCCGCGAGTTCCTCGAACGCGACTGACGTTAACGGTGACTGACTTTGGTAACGTGGGGCAGGACCAAAGCTGTCCGAATCTCCGTGATACTCACCGGTAGGATCGATGCCATGCTCGTCCGAAATCACCTCCCAGAACTGTCGCGTGAAAAGAAAACGATTCGTACGCGTTCATCGTTTCGGAAAGGTTAGACGTGCCAGCGTCGCTTCGATCGCGTTCGCGTCAAACACTACGATACAACGAATTAACCAAGAATCGGACTTTTCGAAACGTTCGCCGATCGCGCGAACCCACTGACCTTGGCACCGATCTGATTGCCGCATTGTCCAGCCTGTATGTGTACGATTTCTCGCATCTTTCGATCGGGTCGGAGAGAACGGAAACACTGTGGAAAATTCAACGAACGATTTTCTCGATTTCCTCACGTAACCGCGAGGATGGTCCGTCGGTGGATGGGACGTCGAAGGACGAGGCGAGGTACGGTGGCTCGTGGCTCCTCGACTCGAACACGTATCGCCGAGAACGTCTCGGAAAATGTCTCGAACAAACAGAAACAGACGAACGTTCGATTCTCCATGGCGACGCCGAATTTCCGCGTACCACGATCTTTACGCTACCCGCGCATTTTGTCCGTTGGAAAACCGAAACGGCGAAACGCTACGTTTCTTCGACGGTTCCCGCGAGAAGTCGCGCACTGCCGTCCCGTCTCGAATCGATCTCGCGATCGCGAACACCAAAAGTTTGACGACGATACGGAAAGCGGGCTCGAGTCGCGGGTCTCATTGCGTTTTCCTCTGTTCGACGATCACGACCGTCGTGTCCTGGCGCTTTTCGTCGGCGTCCGCGACCTCCTCCTCCTTCCGTGGCTCGCTCGATGGCTGACTCGCTCGCGAATTTTCAGACTCCTGGGCAGTCGCTTCCTCCGGCGCCTGCGACGACCGATTTCCCGGTTTGCCGTTCACCAAGTACCTCAGCGGCATCCACTCCGTCTTCTCCTCCTTCTCGGTGTGTTTCCTGCAAAGTACAAATCTAGTGGATCACGGTCCGCGAGTTCCTCGAACGCGACTGACGTTAACGGTGACTGACTTTGGTAACGTGGGGCAGGACCAAAGCTTGAAGTCGGCCCCGAACATTTCGCCCTCCTCGATCGTCTGCGGCAGGTGAATGTTGAGGGTCTCCGGCAGGAAGATGGACGTGAGAGCTCCGGCGACGCTGAGCGTGCCCATGATGATCAGCGGAAGTACCCTCGAGTAGACGGCCAAGTGAACGATGTACGGGAAGCCGAGCAAACCGATGCCCGCGATGAACGAGGCGACTCCCATCGCCTGTGACCTCAGCACGGTGGGCAGCAGCTCCCCGACGAACACATAGAACACGGCGAACGAGGCCGCGATCCCGAATTTGCCGATCATCGCCAAGGACACCGTCACCCATACAGCGTCTGCTGCGACACACGTACGCGCACGCGCGCGGATACACACGTGGAGCCCGTCTACCGGTTTAGGATACGTCGGAGACAAGCAGAAAATCGTACCTTCGGGAACGAACATGCAGGAGACGCAGGCGACGCCGCCCAGCAGCATGGTGAGACACAGCACCCATCTTCTGCCCAGCCTGTCCATGGCGTACCAGGTGATCACGTAGGACGGTATCTCGACGAGGCCACCTGTAACGCGTAAAATATGAGAGAGAAAAATGAATGTCGTTCGATGGATCAAACGGTCGCGTTCCAACGTCGCGCCGTGGCGTTGCAATGCCGTGATAACGATCGCATCGCGTATGCGTAACGATGCGTTATTCGCGTTGACTAGCGTGCGCGGGCGCGAGAGCGGACACGAACACGAAAACATGTTTACGAGCGACGCGATCGCGAGTCAAGGCCGGCTCGGGAAGAGCGTCGCGAGCTTTACCGATGAAGAAGGCCAGGTAATCGGACAGGCCGAGGTTCGTCGTGTTGTACGAGAGCCCGTTGTACACGACCGCGTTCGCCACCCAGTCGAACGCTAGAATGAAAAACTTTTTCCTGATGTTCGGGTTCCTGATGAGATCCATCGGCGTCGCGGCCGGCGGCGGCGACCTGTCCACCGCATCGGTCGTCTCGTTCTCCCCGGAGTTTGTCCCGTTGCACGAAATACCCTGCCTTCGCAGGATCTCCACCTGAAATCCGAACCAGAGTTGGCCATAGTTTAGTTTGTCTCTCTTCGAACGTCCAACTCTGATCCGATCGATCTCTTACCTCCATTTTCCTAAGGAAATTGTTCGGTACCGTCCGACCGTTTATCTTGGCCATGCGTTGCACGATCACCTCCGCCTCGTCTATTCTATTTTTGCTAAGAAGCCAACGCGGCGACTCGGGAATGATCCAGTAGTAGCTGAAGAGGAGAACGAAGGGAACCGAGGTAGCCAGCGACAGCGCGAACCAGTGCCTGAGCAGGTAACCCTACGAACGAGAAGAAACGGAAACGAGAATGCGCGCGACCGAACGTTTACGGTGCGTAAGGAACGACGCGCGTTACCAGCAGGGCTAGAAGAGACATCGCCGACGCGAAGAACATGCTGATCACCATACCGGCGAACGTTCTGTACCTGGGGCCCATCAACTCCAGAGCTGAAACGAGTAAGTTGTTGACGTCGTTTCCGCTTTCCGTCGGCCATTCGCTTACCTAGTATGAAAGGTATTTGATAGATGGCAGGGAAGAAGAGACCGTTCACGGTCCTCAACACCGTGTAGATCACGTAATTCGGGCTGAAACTGGTGGCGATCGAGAGTATCACCTCGAGGAACAGAATGGCGAAGAAGGCCGTCCTTCTGCCCCATTTGTCGGCGATCCAGCCAAACACCACGTTCCCGAACAGGCTACCGACGTAGAAGAAAGTCGTAGAGGTGGAAGGCCACCAGCTGTTGTCGCATACCAAGTCTAGCTATGTGGATGCAGAATGCCATTACAACGACTACGTCCCGCAAACGATTTCCTCGCGGAAAACTGTTCGAGAGGCGGACAAGGAAGAGCTCGTCTCGAACGATTTCGCGCAACGTAAACTACTCTTTCGAGATTACGAATGTCGGCCGTGCTACGATATCGCTCCGTCACGGACGAGTCATTGCTCCGGTTACCCGTCGTTATCGTCGTTTATCTTCCTCGTTCGCGAACGCGTCGCTTAGGGTTGACCCGTGTTCGATTGGGAATCGTATCCGAAACGTCTGGAGAAACGAGAGAGATACCGGAACCGAGGTGGGTCGGCGAACGACATCGGAGGCTCCCACAGCCAGAGGTGTCCATCACCCTCGCTCGACAACCTACCTCCGTTACCCTTTGCCTCTGCCCCTCTCTTCGTCTTCTGCTCATCTTCGCAGTTTTCATAGCTGCACGGCGCGCGTTCGATTCGAAACTCGTTGCGACTTCGGACGACGCCGACGCGTCGGCGC